CAATTTCTGTCAGGATTATGAGAACTTCATTCAGCAACATCTAGAAAAACGTATCCTATCCCTCTAATGTATTTATTGGTTGTTCTTTGGGGCAGCAGAAGATTTGCTGTCTTTGTGCTATGTCTATTAGAGCTGTTCAGATATTTGGAAAATGTTATTGTATCCCCACTCAGACCTCTTTTATCCAATTCCACATATTTTCCTATAACAATTATATACAGTAATAACACAGAGAATGTATAATGTTTACATAGGAATGCTCCTTAAAAATGGGTCATATTTAATAAGATTATTAAAAGCTTTAATTTTTGGCACAGTGAAATGTCTGGGAACCATTTCAGTTTCTGGTTATGCAAAATCATCCTTTGGAAAGAACACTTTTATATGTTGAAATTGTTAAAACACTTATTACTTTCAGTTGCAGTACCAACTGTTCTAGCCATGGCAACAAATGGGATAATTTCTCTGGGCGTTTTAGCTCAGTACAACTTACTTTATGACATTTTTACTCTCTCCCTCCCTCTCTCAAAATAAATGAGAGGACCTACAGTATACTGTGCTGTCACTGGCTCTGCAGTCTTTCAGGAAAGGTAGAACTATGGATCCAGTAGGAGCCTCACGCTATATCTGCAATGGTTTTCTCCTCCATCCAAATTAGCATTGTATATAGTAAATTGAGCTCCCAGAATCCGTTGCCTGAAGTGTTATGTAATGGAAGCAAAAACATGTTGAAAAGAATCTCGGTGTCCTCTTAAAGTTGAGAATGTTTTTTTCAATTAGCAATCTATCTGAGGGGTATATGTACCTTTTGGAAAAGGAAGGGGAAGTTCAGATAGAAGCTCATTTAGTCTTAAAGAGAAGTAGAAAAAAAGGAATTTTGTATTTGGACTACCTCTACCAATCCCTTTAACTGTTCTATTAAACTGAGGCCTTTCTGTATTTATAATGTGCTTGTTTTAGACAATACAAATACAATTTAATTTTTCAAAGAACCCTTTATGATGGTTCAATGCACTTTCTAAAGTATATTTTTGTGATCTTATACATTCTCATACTACTACCCTATTCAGATAAGAAGTCAATGCCAATTGTCACCCAGGAGTCTCTTACAGCTTTCAGGGTCCCTGCTCCATGAGTCCCCAGCTGTGAGACCCTGTTCATTAATGTCCAAGTATAGTTGGGACTGTTGTTGCTGTACTAGCTACCCTGCTGCATAACAAACTCCCTACATGAGCTCTTTGACTCCATTTCTGGGTTGGCAGTGGAGATACCTGGATTTATGGTTCTGGGGGATTTCAGTCTGCCTTCCCTAAGAATGGGATCTGAGGTAGCTCAAAAGCTCATGGCTTCTGTGACAGCCCAGGTCACCCAGAGCTTAACTTGGGAAAGTGGTCACATTCTGGATTTGGGATTTCTATTGGAGTAGTGGCAGTGTGATATGAAATTGGGGAAGATTTCAGTGGCTCCTTTGTCATGGTCAAATAATGTCCTGATTTCTATGGGATTTTCTAGTGCGATTATCCACTGGATTGGCTCAGAGCATTGGGAATGAGTAGCATGGTATTATGCTAGTTCACTTCCTTCTTTCAGGGATGATTCCAGTCAGTGATGATTAGGGAGGAGAGGTCCTGCCCTCCATCCCTACCTTGTGAGGTACCATGGGGTTCAGTTCTTTCTCCTCTCCTTTTTTAACATCTACTATACATGAGACTGCTGGGTGAACTTATCCATTGCCATGGGGAAAGGTATCATCAGTATGATACCTCTTTACCTCCTCACACTTAGCAAATTAAGTTGAACACCATATCCTGGTGTTAGAAGGGTAGAGGTCTGGATGAGGAACAAGGGTTCGGCTGGACCCTGACAACACTGAATGGCTTTGGATTTGGGGCCTCACTGGTTCCAAGACTATGCTATCTTTAATGCTGGATGGAGATGCACTGTCCCAGACAGATCCAGTGTGCAATCTGGGGCTCCTTCTAGATTCACAATACCTGCTTGATGAGCAAGTGGCAGTTGTGGCTAGGAGGGCCTTTGCACAGCTTCTTATTGTTTGCTGGCAGCGATAGAAATTTAATTAGTATATAAATAACCACAAGTTACTTAGTTATCACATTTCTATAGCCACCCATCTCACATAGTAAGTCATTTGGCCCTGCAGATTTGAATTCATGTTAAGGTAGCAGGTTCTTATCACACTTTTGTCAATCCTGAGCTTTGTCTTCCCATTTGTTCAGTCATGTTTCAAAAGGCTTTCTCCCCTTTCTGGAAGAAAATAGATACAAAGAAAGTGTTAAGCAATTCCACCATCTCCTTATTTGTTGTCATTATTTCCTGGCCTGCATTGAGCAACAGACTAATAGTTTCCCTGAGTTTTATTTTAGACATATATTTAGACATAATTCTTCAATTATGGAGTCCTTGGTGCTGAGCTTGGTTACTTGCTTGCAAATGTTTCCTTACCCAACTAGGTAACATCAGTGCTAGTGATAGACACATAGAGATATGTTACATTTACACACTATTCAAAAGAGACAATATAAAGCTTAGAAGGAAACAAAAAGACCAGAACACATTCTCTCCAGCAGCCAATACCCATATAAGCAGAAATCAACAGCACACAAACAATATTGTAATCAAGGAACTACCATGAAGAAAACCACACCCTCATCAACTCTGACAGGGCAAGCTACTTTAAATAAACAGGAAGCAAACCCTACACAGACTAGCACTAATGATGTTATCTAGTTGGGTAATGCAATGTTTGCAAGCAAACAACCAAACTCGGAGAGCACCAAGAACTTCCAGTTCAAACCTGAGCTACAAATATTCTCTTCTATTGAATTTTTTACATACTTTGCTAGTTTAATCTCATTCTGAATGTTTGGTTTCTTGCCATCCTTACGGTCTTTAGTTACCAGCTAGGGTTCCCTTTTAGTAAGTTAGACTACTTCCATTTTTTATATCTCTTTTTCTTTGCTTCTACTTTTTTTCAGTTCATTCATAGGCAGGCAGACAAATGGACAGAGCTTATGGTCAATCTTGATTCCTGACTACTGCCTGGAGAAGTCCATACAGTTCTCATGGCAAGAGTTTTGGAAGTTTTGTCATTCTAATAAAGGTTGAGTTTTGTGCCTAAGGCAGGATTAAAACTTACAGTCTTCTGGTTTCTATCTTGGCACCTTTAATCATTATATCAAACTGACCCTTTGTTCATTCATTTTTTTTCTCTTCCATCAGTCCTGTCTCAGACTGCTAGGACATGTCCCTGCAGTATTTTTGGCAAGGTTTTTCAGGTTTGCCATTGCCTTCTTCCTAGGGGCGAGAGAAAGTGACTAAACCAAGATCTCTGTGTCTAAGGTGAAACTAGAATTCACACTCTCCCAGTTTGCAGCCTGATGCCTTAATTCAGTGGCTCCCAAAAGGATGGGAGGGACCAGTTCTGTGAAGGGTGATTTTTCCACTGACCATGAGGGCATGGTTTTGCACACTGCCTGGATCTCGCATGATAGGGCTTCGCTCGGTGGCATGGCCTGGTTCCTGTTGGGCAATGGATTGGTACTGGTCCGCAGCCCAGGGGTTGGGGACCCCTGCCTTAACTACTACACAAACAGATTCTCTTGTTTACCCATAAAGGCCTTTAAGAGGATTGTCACTGCCAGTATTTTTTCCTACCTCATTTTTTAGAATCTCCCACCCTTCTTCAACTAGTTTAGTCTTTATCATTTCATGTCATGATACATTGTGTACTTTTTACCTAGATCACTAAAATCTACCTTCCTGAAGCCCAAGGTATATGGGAACATACTTTCAACTCTTCCCTTCCCCCTTAGCTACTTTCTTCACAGGTATTGACATTGTCATTACATCAATCAATCAATTCTACATAGTTAGTCAGTATTGGACCAGACAAGGGACCTTCTTGTTTCTTCTTCAACTTTTTACAAAATGCAAATAACAACAAAAGGGAAATCTGTTGGACATGTGACTCAGCTTTCCAGGAGATAAACATGATAACTGAAGTCTCATCCTGCACTCTTGAGAACTTGGTAAGTTAATTTAGAAATACATTTCAGGCATAGTGTAGAAATCTCTCACAATTATATCAGTGTTCTTTTTAACTCTATTTAATCTTACACAGATTCTTTCAGCAATTTCCTGGAAGGAAAAACACTTACATGAATAAAGTCTCCTAGAATCATTCCTATATAAGCATTATATTATTTATATTCTGCCATAGTATAGATACATAAAAGTAAATCATGTAGGCCATAATACACAGTAATATGTGATGCTTATGTAACATGGCATGTGCCTACTTGAATACATGTACGCTGCTGCTCCCTACAGGATTAAATAACAAACTGCTGTTTTCAAATGTAATAAGGTTTCAAAAAACAGTGATGCACAAGAAGGCAAAGAAAAAGACCAAAGGCAAATAGGTCCAATTAGATCAAGCATGTCAACTTGCATTCTGAAAAGGGGCCTGCTGAATAATTGTCCAAGTGTATTAGAAGCGCCGTATGTTTTTGAGTAATATTTTAGGCAGGCGCAGACTAAAATACAAAACGTAGCAGAACTCAGGTTTCATACTTTACACATGTGCAAAGGCACTTCCATTTATTATTCTCGAATAAACTGTTCTGTTTGAGAAACGAGGAAGGAAGCCGCTCCGAAGCGGGTGGAACAGTACTATTTGCACAAGGCAACTTGATATCTGGGCTACGTTATACAGGACCCTTTGGCGGTTGAAAGTGGGAATACGTCACCTCACTGAATGACAGAGCAGTTTTCATCTTGCATTGCTGAATCTGGGCTGCGAAAATCCGGATAAGCATTCAGATGTCAGCCCAAAGACACAAAAGCCTTGGTTGTCCGAAGTTTCGCAGCCCTTATCCGTAGCCGTACCTTCCTTTCGTCAGAGCAACTACACCTCCCAAAGTGCCCCGCGCGATCCTAAAATGGATTCCCTTCCGGCAGGGAAGCGACACTAGGGTGATTCCCCAAGCTGGAGGGCGTTTGAGTAGGAACGGAATTGAGGTGGAGAGCTAAACGGAAACGGGTTCTCCTGATAGAGGGGCTGGTAAGGGCCGGTTCCGGGTGTCACTTACTTGGCGACGGAGGTGGAAGGGGGGGAAGGAGAAGAAGATGGCGTCCGACATGGAGACAGAAGTGCAGGCCCTTGACAGAAGCCTCCTGCAATGTTCCTCCGAGGAGATTGCCCTGGTAAGGCCCTCTCCAGAAACAGCGGGCGGAACCTGCCTCTGCCGCGGGGCTCCAAGCAAAGCGTAGCAGGCAGGAGAAACGAAAAAACGGACGGAGACGGTAGACAGGTGGCGTCAGAACCCGGTTGAAGCAAAGGATGGTAGAGGAGCGAGGGTGGGAGGGCGCCGAAAGGAGTTGGGCTTTCAGGCCTGTCGTTAGAACAAATAGGCGGATGGAGGGAGGAGATGGCGGGGGTCTGTCCTGGATAGATGAGATCCAGGGGGGCTTCTGAGTGTGAATAGCTCGCAACGAGTGGGAGAGATTCAGTAGATAGGTGGCAGAAAAGAGGGCTGCGAAGCGGTGGCTTCCCTTTAGGAAGAGAATGAGGAGGCAAATTGGTTACAAAAGAGGCGCTTTGGAGGATGGAAGGAGACGGTTTCGAGTCCTTAGCTTTGATCGGCTAGGGAGGCAAAAAAAATATCATTTGGTAAACGTAGGCAGTGCTCAGTATATCGCAAGTATATTCTAGTCTTTGTTGTATCACTGGGTTCAAGAGTTGGCTGAGAACTGAGCCATCTCAATGAATTGGTAAACATAGGTTGTTGCCTGCAAGGATTGAAGTAGAGAATTGAAAGAAGTGTTTTTGCTTGTTTTATTTTGGAATTGCAGCAGACTACAGTTGCTGGTCATGATTTCCCCCCCCCCAAAATCCCCACCCTTTAATATTAGAACAAACTTATGACAGTAAATATGGATATAAAGAGAAAAAGTCTTTTAAGAGAAAAAGTCTTTTAACGTAATTGTTTTGTGGTCTTAGGATATAGTGCTCTATGAAATGGGAAGTGTGAACCAAACAGATTCTGCAATGCTTGCTATATTGGTCTAGTATGGAAAATAATAAGCTTTATAATTTAAAGGTTAAAATTCAGTTACAATATTTTTTTATAAATGACACTCTACTTTATCACTTACAATTTTCAAAGAAAAATTATTTTAGTTTACTTAAAGATACTAAGCATTTAATGGTCTGATACTTTTGATTTGAAACCATTTGAGGAAATGTTAGAAATTGACTGTTCACCAGATATATTTCAATGGGTCCATATTGTAGACATTGTAGCCCCAATTAATATAGAAAATGTCAGTTTGGAGAATGCTGATGTAATACCAATCCTTAGCACAGTCTAGTGGTAGATTGAATAACTCCTTTTGTTCTGAATAATCAGAACACAGTCTTCTTTTATAATAGTGCCAGTGCTAGTCATTTGGCCTACTTTGTTTATACAACCAGCTCTAAAGGGCAGATTGGATAGTTAAATGCCAATTACAAATTTACTGTTTGCCTGGTATTGAAGGATGATTGCTCCCAGATCAATAAACTACTGCACTCATTACTGCTATGATGTATGGACAAATAAATAAAATTCTGCCCTTCCCTAATTTGCTAATAAGTATATAGATTGAGAATAGTCCTATTGTGATGGGGTATTATTTTTGATATCAGCCTTTTAAACTAGTCAAGATTTATATGTTTAAAATAAAGAGTCGGTAAATTCTGTCTAAATTCTGGTAAATTCATTTATTGAGGCATCAGTTTCCAGTTTGTTCAGAGTTAAATAAATTCAGCTATTTGTAAAGGCAAGGTTTTAAATATTAAAAATGTGTTAGTGATTATTATGTATATATACATGTATAGATAGAGAGGGGGGAGGGAATTTCTATATGGTCATAGATGAATCCTGTTTGCAGTGCATCTGTCAGAATATTTGTGGGAACTCTTACTCATTTTTTATAGTGATCAACCAAAATTGTTTATTGTTCCTCTCAAGCATACTAATATTTAATATATGTTGAATATGTATTTGTGAAATTTTATGATCATTAAAACATGAAAGTATGAACTAAAATGTGAAAAATATTTTGTATCCTTTACACACACACACACACACACACACACACGGTGTTGAGTGGAAAATTAAAATGTTGGTATTAAATATTATAATACCCAATTATAATTGGGTTTGTACATTTTCTTCAATATATGCCATGACTCAATGACTCTGATTTTCTATATAAACTATGCACAATATGGGATTATAAAACAGACTTGAGTATCTATTGAATTAAGTTCACAATTATGTAATATAAAATCTGCTATTGTATACTTCATTGCAGTAGCCTAATTTAGATGGGAAAATTGTTTTGTTACTGTTGTTAAAAGGGTAAGAGTCATTACTCCTAGTGTATAGAAGTCCAGGCTAGATTTTAAGAGATCTGATCCAATAGTTAGATTTGTCTGTATTTTCTTCATCTTTTTTTGAATCAGCTACTTTGATATAGTAGTACTTAGATGAAAACTTGTAATATTTTGTAGCATTTGATATGTTTTTGACAAGCTCAACTGTGTAATGTATTATGTGTGTTTCATGGCATTTATCATTGTTTTGTATTTATCCATTTCTTTGCTAAGTCACACTGTGAGAAGATCTGATGATTTTGGTAAATATTTCTCATTTGTTTAACATTTATATAACCATCCAATTCAGCACAGTGACTTCCGGCAGCATACAACATTAAATCTTTAAGTAAACTTCCATTGCAAGATTTCTTGAGTAAAATACATGACAATTAACAATAATTAATGTTATAGATTAAGCTCTAATGTATTTAGTAGTACTTATTCTGAATAATTATATACAGCATTTCAATATTACATTATCATAAAGCTGACACATATTCTAAAAATGTGTTTTCTGATATATTAATTTTTAAAAAGCATTAGGTATAGGATTACAATGGGATACTCAGTTTTCCTCAAATGTATTCTGCAGTTGCTCTTACAGACATTTGAATGGTATTATAGCTTTTCCTAGTTTTAAAAGAGTGTTAGGTATTTGGTATGCATTAGCTAAAAGAAAATGAGGACTTGGCATGTTTTTAAGAATATTTCTCTCGTGCTACATATGTAATAAATTTTTCCCCTGTGGTCAGGAGCTGCACGTGCATGTGGGTGTATGCGCGCACCGCACACGCTCACACACACAGAAGGGCAGCCAAAAACTGCAAAAAGTATAATAGCCATATGGTAATATTTATGGATTTGGGAAGGCTAGAATATTGTCATTTTTAAATTTTATTTTGGAATTATAGAAATTATTTTAATAATTATATTAATCTTCTAGGAGATATACACACCAATTTCCTTATTCCTGAATTTCCTGTTAAAACCTAGTGAGAAATCATCTTGCTGTTTTTAGTAAAATTTGGCAACATGATTTTGGGGATAAAAAGGAACTTAGAGTAGTTGTAGCCTTATCTTGGTCCTAAGAAAAACCCAATTTATTTATGACTGAACAAGAATCTTTTTAATTATTATATTTAAAAAACTCTAAGAAAATCTGAATTTGGCAAAACATTGTAGAGGAGAGCTGTGTATATAGTATATATTAGTCAAAATAAACTACCAGACATCAGTATATTGGAAAAATCATGTTCTGTAATTAGATAGGATGAAATTGTAATAAATGTACATAGAAATATCAGCAGGTTTTTTAATTAATGTAGGTCATTTTAATTCATCCTTGCTTATCTCAATTATACAAAAGTTGCAATGTTATAGTATTGAAAGATCAAGGAGTGACAGCAGTACTATTTTTAGGCTTTATTGTGATATTCCATAACTTGGTGCTTTATCCTGTTATTCTTTGGGTTTTTGAATTTCACTGCAACAATTCACAAGCAGAAACATAGGCATGGTACAGTATTTTTTTCTCTTACCCTATTAACTTTTTCATTCTTGTTTCTTACAAGTTCAAGCTAAATCCATGTAATGCCTTTGTAGAAGGATAATGAACTTCCACAATTTTAATAGGTTTAAGAATTTTAATTTTAATGGGCATCTAGCAGCTATCAATTTGTATGGTTTGTAGCAGAGCAATTATTTTTTGTTACTATTTTAGTTGCAATAAAAAAATAGAAAACGGTCCAGATGTAAGTTTTGAGAATCTTTTGGTTTTGCACATATATAATGTTGGAAAATATCTGATGAAAATATCTGCAAATTACATATATGATATTCATCATTATGACCAGCTTGTGACCAGCTCCAAAGACATATGAGTGGTGGCTAAAAGATAGGAAGCATTTACAGAAATGTTGGAGTACCTGGTAATTGTCTTGATCTATTAAGGCGATTCTTACACTTTTCTGCTTACAGGTTCATGATAAATTTAACAAGTTTTTTTAAATCCTTAGGAAGATTAAAAAAAACTCCACAAGTCTGAATTCCTTTTGGGGCTACTTTTAAACAATATGTATACAATGTATACAATTTATATAAACACACAATTTATTAGACATTCTTCAAATACAAGAATGTATGGTACATAGGTGATATCAACTTATGGGTGTACTGAGCATTTCAGTATGTTCAAAATGTTCCTGTGAATTTTTGGGTGTTAAAGCCAGCTTTAATATTGAGTTTAACATTTTTCAATCCGTCAATAGCTTTTATTCTTAAAACTGGGTAACTGTATCTTATTTTAATTTTGTACTTTTTTCACTTTTTTTTGAAGAACTGGCTGCAAGCATCTGATCTTCCTAAAGAAATATATAAGCACCTAGCCTGTTATGTGCCCCAAATTTACTGCAGAGGTCCCAATCCAGCCTCTGAAAGAGAAGATATGCTTGCACAACATGTTCTTCTGGGCCCAATGGAATGGTATCTTTGTGGTGAAGATCCTACTTACGGCTTTCAAAAACTTGAGCAAGCAAACAAACCTTCACATCTTTGTGGCCGAGTTTTTAAAGTTGGAGAACCTACCTATTCTTGCAGGTAACTACTATTCATTTTAAACTGTCCTTTAAAATTAGCATATTTACTTTGGTACGTTACTAAAATCGGTTAAATGATGGTCATGTGTAATATTATTGAAACAATCCTCATGGTATCTTGATAATCAGGGAAGAAATTATTGATATGCTAATAAAATTGTATTTCGGAACCTAATAACTATTAGTGGTGATCAGTATGAAAATGGTAATAAAAGTTAGATCAAATCATAATTTTTCATGTTGTGCTTCATGGAACATGGGACTATCTAGATCCTTTTTTATGAACCTTCTGACCCATGAGATTGTATGACTGTCAGTGTACAAGGAGTTCACATTTTCTGTTGTTTTAAACTGATTTTAACATGAAATTAATCACAGGTTTAAAAGTCATCACCTTACAGGAACAAAATATTTTTATCAGTTAGATAAATAATGGCAAGGGTCATTCCCAAAATATTCTATAGTAACAGACAACTGTGGTTTAAAGTATGTAATTTGTCCAAAATGTTAAACAGATACTGCATTTTGGAAGCAGTGGCAGCATCAGATAGTAAAATATATGGTTATTTTAAAATTAAGGTTGGCAGTATATACCAGTGATGGCGAACCTTTTAGAGACTGAGTGCCCAAACTGCAACACAAAACCCATTTATGCATCGTCAAGTGCCGGGTGGGTGTGGCCCATTGGCTGGATGTGGTCCATTGGCTGGGTGTGGCCCATTGGCTGGGCATGGCTGTGGTGATAACGGCAGACTGGGTGGGACTAAAAAGTTCAATCAATTCCAACTTTTTTTTTCCGCGAGAAGTTGAAATTGACTGATTGAACCTTTTTTTTTTTTTGGCACACGGTGGCAGAGGCCTAAAGCAAAAAGGTTTTATAAAACCCGGCTGAAGACCTAGGACTGGGGCGACGGCGCACGTGCCCACAGAGAGGGCTCTGAGTGCCGCCTATGGCACCCATGCCATAGGTTCGCCACCACTGGTATATACTTTTTCAGATATAAAATGTTCAATATGATACCTGTGACCCAATGCTTTCTGTATATATTTTTCAACATAAAGTGCAGGTTTTAAAACATATTCTCATATAAACAATAATGTTTATACTTGCTAGGATTTCAGTACAGGTATATAGTAATTTTCAAACTGGATCCAGAGTAGAGCTGAATTCTGAAATTCCTTGTTTTACTTAATAAAGATAAATATACCCTGTGGTGTGCCTTTAATTGAGAAAATAAATCCTTCTTTCTTAACAGGCAATTGTAATTAGTATGGTAGAAAGGAATTTCTGCTAAAGGAAATGTAATAATATATGCATTTTCTTAGAATAAGAAATAAATACAAGATCTTTTGATATATACGCCTTTCTCAGAATTACATTAATCTTAATTATAATAATCTTGCATCAAAAAGACAAAAAAAGTCATTTTAAAAGTTTATACTTCTGGATTTATAGTAGCTTGATGCTCTCATGCATTTTTATATATAATATACAATTTATTTTCTGCTGATTGTTAATTTAGATAAATATGAAAATCCAGATGTTAGAAAAGAAAAAGAGACTGAGTGGGAAGACTGTTATAACTTTTTAAAAGACTACAGTTTTTAAAATGTTTGATTCATAGCTCTAAGGAGAAATAAGTAGAAACAGCAATACTTAACAAAGAATGAAAGCTAAAAAATTTCACTACCATGGAGTTGGAAGCCATTACTGTAGTAAAACCTGAAAAAGTTTTCAGTTCTCCAAAGAGATTACAAAAAAGTAGATTTAGAAAGTGACATATATTCCTACTTGGATAGAAAATGAAAGAATCTCTGGATGCCAACACATGATCTTAGAATAGAAATGGCCAGTAATTTGGTAAAATACAATAAATTTTCTCTTTGAGATGGATCTTTTGTGAATGTTTAGGAACTAGATTTATATCCATCCATTTCTTAGGGTTAAAGCTCAATCTACTTTTAAATGTAGCAATAATGCTTTTTCTTTCTTCCTGGTAAGTTTTGGATGACATCTTTCTTTCAAATATTTTCTTAATTATCTTAATTCTTAAATTTTATTTTATTTCTGAGAGACATTGATTTAGATTAGAAGATGAAACACTCTGATTTTTCAAGCAGTTATGAAGAAGTGAAGTCTATTTGCATAAGCCATGATAAATATAGAATTCCATTCAGTAGTTTTATATTGGATTGAATTGTTATTTTAGAAAGATACGTAAGTGTTAACTATCTCCACTTGTTGCATTGTAGCAGTTGAATCTTATTTGATCTTTTCTGGGAATTTTCACAATGGTATTTAATTACGCTGATAGGAAAAGGTTACAATGTGGTTTCCTTAGAAAGCTTGTAAATTTACACTTACATTTAATTATTTAGTCAATATGTCAGTTCTATACAAACATACAATTAATATTTTTATCATGTGCAAAACCCCGACCCCATTATATTACATGCTGATCATATTATTCAGCATAATATTTGACTGAATCATTTAACTTTGAATATAGAATGTATCAGTCTATTCATTGCATCAATTAAATGCATACATATATCTGCTACCCAAAACTATGAGTCCAGAATAATCTTATCTTTCCATTTAATAATCGTAGACTGCATCCATAATTTTTCACATAGTAATAAATTTCAAATTTGGGGTATATAATTTAAAAGCACATTCACATGGTTATTGTACCGTTCAATATAGGTATTCTTCGACTTATGACCAATTGAGATTAGAAAATTCATTATTAATTTGTGCAGTCATTAAATAGGACCACGACTTGTGACTTTCCCTGCCAGCTTCCCCATTGACTTTGCTTATGGGAAATCATCCGAGAAGGTTGCAAATGGCAGTCAAGTGACTGCAGGATCCTGCAGCCGTGATAAGTGCAAGCTGGTTACCAAGTGCTTGGATCACAAATCACTTGACTGCAAGGATGCTGCAACAGTTGTAAGTGTGAGGACCAGTTGCAAGTCATTTTTTTCATGACTTTGAAAGTTGCTAAAAGAATGATCATAAGCTGGGGACTTACCTGTATTAACAATTTTGTGAATATCAAATCAAAGTGGGATATTGATTAACAAGCTCATATCATATAGATCAGACATGTCAAACACAAGGCCCGGGGGCCGGATGCGGCCCGCGAAGTGGTTTCATGTAGCCCGCGAAGCCATCCTGGAAACAGTGAGGGAACAGCCCCAGTTGCCTTGGCCCTGGCCCAGGCTGGCCGGAATCCAATGTACAATTTTGCATTGGCCATCTATGCTGAGATGCATTCAGTCTTAGCTCCAAAAGGCTGTCTGGAAACAGCGAGGAACCAGCCCCTGCTGCATCGGCCCCACCCCCTGGGTGCATGCTGGGGAGGTGTCATCCTTTGTGAGGAATGAAGAAATGCACCATCGCCTGGAAGTGGCCAGCAAATGGCCCTCGCCTACTTCACATATCCGGCTTGATGGGCTTTGCCCTGGTCCCACCCCTTTCTGCCAAAGACCCTCAGATCTGTCCTTCTCCTGCCCAGGCCCCCACGGGCACTCTTGACGCGAATGATGCAGAGCTGGCCATGCCCACCCAGTAGGCAACACACTCTCCATCCACGCCCACCCACTCGGCCGCACCCACTCGGCCCCCTGAGGGCAACCACAATGCTGATGCAGCCCTCAATGAAATTGAGTTTGACACTCCTGATATAGATAAATGTACCTTCATTTGTATTGCAGTTTTAGCATAATTGGGGTCGTAGTCAATTCTTTGAAAATATTTTTAAAGGAATCTAATAGATACAAAAAAGATTGTTGTTTTTTAATTAGCATCATTTGGTAGGAAATAGTCTTGAAATTAAGTCTTCCATTAACTCAATATCTTAGGAAATAATACTTTATTCTAAAACTCATAACTATTAATGGCCACCTTGATATGGTTATAACTTTTAATGGTTTTAAGAAATTGTATAGATTTGGAAAAGTCAAAGTCATTCATATAATGATATTTCAGGAGTTTTAGATAATCCAGGCCAAATTGTAATTCAAAAAATGTTTGTAATTGAGTATATGTCATTTCAGTTTCACAGAGTTTAAACTCTTCCTGTAATAAACAACTTATTTAAAGTATTACAGGTAGCCCTTGACTTATAACCATTTGTTTAGTGACAATTTGAAGTTACAACGGCACTGAAAAAACTGACTTATGACCATTTTTCACACTTACAACTATTGCCGCATCATGCAGTCAAAATGTGGACACTTGACAACTGGCATATATTTATGACAATTGCAGTGTCCCAGGGCCATGTGATCACATTTTATGACCCTCTGACAAGCAAAGTCAGTGAGGAAGCCAGATTCATTAAACCGTGTTACTAATGTAACAATGCAATAATTCACTTAATAATTGTGGCAAGAAAGGTTGTAAAATGGGGCAAAATTGACAACAATTATCTTGCTTAGCAGTGGAAATGTTGGTCGTAATCTGTAATAATGTTTTGTGCCTTTTAAAAAAATTATTTGTTTTTAGCTAAAATATTGTCTATTTCTGACGTTACCAGCTTTTTCTCTTAATTTCATGACATAAATAGTTAAAAGTACTGCTACTTATTCTTAGAAATAAGATGCCTTGGATGCCTGAAGGACAAAAATCATTTGTGCATATATACATATATCTAATCGCCTCTCCTTATTTTCTCTCCTTTATTCCCATTTGTTACCCTTAGCTAATGAACAGGATTTCCATGAATATAGAACAGCCTGAATTACTTCCACTGTATTTATTTTCTTGAGCATTTAAAATATTTTTTGCATTTCCTTTTCTTTTTTCCTCCATCAGAGATTGTGCAGTTGATTCAACTTGTGTATTATGCATGGAATGCTTTCTGGGAAGTGTTCACAGGGAGCATCGATATAGGGTTAGTAAGCTTGCTTATTACTTTAGTGATTTTTTTTTTTTACTTTGAGTTTATGCTTTATAGGGCTGTGCAAATCATTGCCAGGCATTACCAGTAAAACCAAAAAAAAAAATACTGCTCCTAAATACACTTGTGACTTCCAAAAGGCTCACTGAGGCTATTTTGAAAACTAGAAGTGTGTAGTATTTGGATCTGAAGAGTGCAAGGATCACGCATGGCTACTTTCACTGTACCATAAGTTGCTCTTTAAATAAGCTGTTGCTACTTGCAAGGCACGAGAAAGGTGGCATTCCTTTAAAGAGTAACTGACAGATATAATGAGGGTGCCCCTGCCAGATCTGAAAAATCCTTTTGCACTTCAGATTCAAATTCTGCACATCTGTCAAAGACCTTCTGAGATCATCTGTATATAATGCTCATATACAGAAGACATTTCTACAAGCATTTCTGTTTTGCTTTGCTGTCAATTGTGGCAAAAAAAATGTCTTCTGGATCTGTGTAGAGATGATCTGAGAAGGCTCCTTAAGTAACTGAGCAGAATTTTTAGGAAGACACTGCTGCCTCTGCATTTGAAGGAGCGGCATTTAACTTGTGGTGCTGTGTGATTAAAACAATACTCCACCAAATATTTTGTCTTGCTATTGTCTCATAATTCATAATTTCAGCAAATAAAATATAACAACAACAATACATTTCCTCCTCCTTTTCCCTTCCTTGGGTATCAGCCTTTCTTCTTGGGTTGTCTCCATCCCTATTCTAGCCTCATTTTTTTGTTGCATTTGTAGAAGTAGAGAGGTATTTTTGTATGTATGTGTAATTTTATGTCTCTATATGAGAGCATTGGTATATACTGGTATATGCAGATCGGAATTAATTTCATAAATTAGATACCTTATTTTAGAGAAAATTTTAATAACTAGAAATTCAGTTAATATACATGCGTTTCTTTCTTTGTGTCTCAGACTTTGTTTGGAATTCGACTCCTGGCATGTGTAGAGCATGTACATAGACCTTAAAATATGTTAACACATACATACACACATGGATGTGCACACCTGTACATATACACATATAACCACATAGACATAGACACTTTCATTGGGTGGGGTGGGGTTGTAGTATTGGTTCGAGGAGAAATTGAAAACCCATGGTTGATAAAATTGGGAACTTGGGCATTTACAGGAGTTGTATCAATGTTTAGCAGTTGATTATTAGTCCACTCTTCCTTTGGAGTAGGGTCATCTTAAATTATGGGTTGTCTTCTTCTGGGATAAATAATAAAATGTAAAGTTTCCTGGAACTTAAATTGTTGTCTTTATCACCACATTGACTTTGCATAGTGGAATGAGGTTCTTGCCATAGTTACTGAGATAATTGCTTTTTTGCCAATAGCCAGGAATTGGTAGCAATTGTAATCCAAAGACTAGTCAGCCATTTCCCATCAACTAGGAAAGTGATTTTGGAGTCAATGAAATTGTTGCATTGATGTGCAGCTGTTGTTGCAAAAAAGGCCAACTTCCCTGTTAGTATTCATCATCTATACAGCTTTTCAAGTTTCACCAACATGACATAAAATACAGGTAGTCCTTGACTTACAACCATTTGTTTAGTGACCATTCAAAGTTATAATGACACTAAAAAAGTGACTTATGACCAGTTTTCAGACTTACAACCTTTGCAGTGTCTCCATGGTCATGTGATCAAAATTCAAGCCATTGGCAATTGGCGTGTATTTATAATCGTTGCAGCATCCCTGGTCATGTGATTACCCATCATCTTCCCAGCTGGTTTCTGACAAGCAAAGTCAAAAGAAGAAGTGGGATTTGCCTAACAGTTACATGATTCATGTAACAATTGCAGTGATTTGTTTCACAACCCTGGCAAAAAAGGAAATAAAATCAGGCAGGACTCACTTAAAACTGCCTTGCTTAGCAATTGAAATTCTGGTCCCAATTGTGGTCGTAAGTCAAGTCAAGAACAACCTGTAATGTGAAAAAAAATGGCTAGGAAAGATCCACTTCCCCTGTTTCCCGTAGCGTCAGTGTTCAATTTCTGCTCCACGAATTTAAGCTTTAATTCTAAAATGTCACACATAGCTCTAACAGAGGTTATCTTACTTGCAGTTCTTCCCTAGGAAATGCTAGGGCTAAGGAACTGTAAGTAGTTATTAACTTTTGCATCAGTGTTTATTTGTGTTTTCATTTGACTAGTCTTTTTTTCCATTCTTGCCCATTTTAAATAATATTTTAGATGACAACTTCAGGTGGAGGTGGTTTCTGTGACTGTGGTGACACTGAAGCTTGGAAAGAAGGTTTTTACTGCCAGAAGCATGAACACAGTACTTCAGAAACTGAGGAGAATGAGGTAACAAGATGTGACATCTAAATTACAGTAGGTGACACTGAGATATTGTGTGGAATGAAGAAGATAGTAAAATTTTAGACTGGCTCAGGAATTCTGGGAGTTGAAGTCCATGAGTCATAAAAGAGCCAAGGTTGCCTATCCCAGGCCTAGGCTTATCCATCATAGAATTTCTTTACTTAAGCTTGTATGAATAAATAATTTTATTCAGCAGATTTCTGTTTTTATTTTTGGAGGGACTTTTTAATAATAGTTTTATTAAACATTTAAATTAAAAAAAATGTACAAACTGAAAAAGGAAAAAAAAGGAAAAAATGTACAAAAAAGAAAAAATAAGTAGAGTAAAAGAAAAGAAACAGCCCAAGATACATGCAAAGAAATGACTTCCCCCTTTATCACAAGTATAAACAATTTTAGTAATTTATCACTTCTCTTAAAATATAACAAATGATCTCTTTTTCCCATATCCTATTTCTTATCTATAAACAAATCAATAAAACCTTATTTCAGTTCTGATGTCAGTAAAAGTCCAGTAATGGTTACCAGAGATAACAACATATTTTAAGCTTGATCAAATAAAGCCATATTATATCCCTTCCTTTTAACAATCTTTATCCTTAATCCCTTCAAATAATTTCATAGAGCTTCATTACTTTACATTTTTTTTAGCTGATCTTACAAAATCCTTCAAAATTTTAATAAATTTCCTTTGTAAATCCAATATAGGAAAGTTATCTGGGCCACTCTTTTGATTTGACATTTGTATATTTCTTTTAATTATTAATATATCAAGCAGTTTAATTTATACATCCAGTGTTGAATCTTTTTCCATATCATTCTTGTAGGTTATCATTTTTAAATCCTCTTTCAAATTATGGCTCAGTCTCACCCTAACCCTAACCCATTATAATTTGTTCTTCTTCTATAGCAGTGGTTCTCAACCTGTGGGTCGGGACCCCATTTGGGGTCGAACGACCATTTCACGGGGGTCGCCAAACAAGGCTGTCCGCCATTTTTTCCCCCTTTTCTTTGGCCACGCCCCTGGCACCCGGTGATGTATAAGTGGTTGGGGGTCACCACAACATGGGGAACTGTATTATGGGGTTGCGGCATTAGAAAGGTTGAGAACCACTGTTCTATAGCATCTTTTAAAAACAGTCTATATTATGGCAGATACTCTAAAAGTTGAGATTTACTCTTAAAGTTGAGGCTATGGTTCAGTATCCAGTGCCAAAGTATTTTGGTCCATTCTGTGTTAATAGAGCAAAGTTAACCACACTTCTCATTTAATTGAAAAGTATAAATAACCAATCTTTAGTTCCTTCTGGTTTCCTCTAGTATCCAACTTTCCAAGTCCTGTCCTGATATGTTTTGTTTAAGAATTCAAAGCAACAACATTTTCCCACAGGAAGGATTCTTATAATTAATTTCAAAATTTTATATCCATCTCAACCTTTAGTCCATTTGTAACTTTTTGCTGTTTATTCTAAAAAACATTTTAAAGTCCTTAAATTTGTATTTAAAACTTCTTTCACTAAGGATTGAAGTAAACTCACCTAGTATTATAAAACCTCTTGATCCAAGGTTTACTAATGGCTGAAAAGCAACTAAACAGATTTCCAAAAGTGATTAACAAAAGAGGCTTGGTGAACATTATGCTCCTGTAGGCTGCATTACAGCTGTGAGCTTGACTGAAATTTCCCAATTCTCAGCGCCCAACGCAAGAATCAACAACAAAAACTTCCATTCCTCAGTCCACTCACAAGGGAAATCTCACAATGTTTCCATTTTCTGGAGATCTGCTAACCACCAGTCTCCACCACAATTCTGTCCCTCCTTCTTCAGGGATGTTTAAGTTTACTTTAAATCTTCAGCAGAAGTTCTTGTTTTTTGTATTTTTAATTTCAGCAGATTGCCCTTTTGTGGAAATGATCCATAATAATTCTGTCTTGGTAAGAATATCCAATTAATGGAAACTAGAGAAATACCGAGGAAAATATTTGCAAGATTCTTATAAAGCATGTCACCACTATGTTTTCATACTGTCTACCTATGAAAAAAATTACCTTAATTTCAAAAATTCCAGGTAGTTTAGCCCAAACATCTAGAAATACACACTGATTAATATGAATCATAAAAATAGTACCAGAGCTGTTTTATTTTGCCTAAGGTAATAGTAGTGTTTAATTTCTTTATCTTCTCTACTTTTTAATCTGATTATCTAAATCTTGTTATTAACATATATCTGAATCCTTTATCTTATTTGATTCTGAAATATAGAAAAGGAACAAAGAAAGCATAGTGAATGTTACATAAATATTAAGAAAACCGTGAAATGAAATATTCAAATTCATTGGGTGTATTCACAATCAATATATTAATAAATCTCCAAAGATAATTCCTGTAAAATATCATGGTAGAAAAAAACCAAAGAAAAGGTCTTAGTATAATAATATTTTCACTGTTTTTATTTTAGGATCCTCTTGTGCATTTGCCAGAAGATATGATAACGAAAGTGTATGGTATTTTTGCAGTTGTCTTTCAGTATGCTGTAGATATATTAACATGGGAGAAAGAAAATGAGTTGCCACCAGGTTTAGAAACAGCGTAAGTGGAAGACCAAATTCCAGCATTTGATTCCTAGTTTTACTAAAACATTATTATGATTGTTCTTTTAAATACTAAAAGAAAAATATATTATACAGGAATTGTTTGTAAAATGTGACTTGAATTGTATGACTTCATGTAGTCACTTCGGGTAGTAGTACTGCAAAGAACTTACCTCAGAATTAGAAATTCAGCTTCTTAGACAAAGACAAACCAAATCAAATTCCAATAAAGGTCTTTTCAGCTAGAGACCAGATGTGATAGCAGTCTTCATGACCAGACATCGTGTCAATGTCTTTACTTTATTATTGCTTCCTAATTACCAGGAGTTCCTAAACTGCCAGAATCCAGGATTTATCTGCTCTTGTTTTTTTAAAGAATTTACTCTTGAGTCATGCCAAATTTAGAATTATATTTTATACTATCAACATGTAGCAGAATCAGGCTGGCTTTATCTACCAGTCAGAATTCGACTTAGATAGTAATTTGATGGGAGACCACCCAAGTTTCCTTGGCTATAGGGTAGCCTAAGTAGTTTTTAAAAAAAGAGAGAAAAAAAACCTAGGAAGAAAACAATAGCACTTCTTTATTGTTGGCAGGAAAGTTTAGTCTCTGTACTCAAACCTACATTTTCACTTCTGTTAGAATTTTATTCTGCTCAGTTTGAATATTAAAGACAGCTTACAGTAAATGATATGCAGAAAGATATGAATAGCAAAGAGATTTCTCCAGATAAAAAGCCAATAAAATTTGTAATGGGATAAGTGTTTTAGTAGTATATAATAACAACAACTATATAATAACAACAGCAACAACATTAATAATAATAATAATAATACTTGTTTTCTTTAATTAATAAGCTGTACTTGTTCTTACTGCATACTTTCTATACAGTACAGAAATTGCAATGAATAATGGAAAAATTATGCCAAAAATACTTTAACTGATTGAAATTGCTGAATGTATTTGTGATACTGTCTTTACAGCAAGAAAAATGATACTTATTACTGCATGCTTTTTAATGATGAAGTCCACACATATGAGCAAGTTATTTATACACTTCAAAAAGCAGTGAATTGTACACAGAAGGAGGCCATTGGGTTTGCAACAACTGTGGATAGAGATGTAAGTAATTTATTTAAGCTTATTAACTTTTTATTTAGAAATTTATTAGTCTTTATATTATAAGTTCCTTGGTATTGATTAAAATAAATAATACAGAATCTCCTCCTGTTCTCTTCTGCAGTACAGTATACACTGTACAACCTGGAGCAGTTTGTACTGGATGCCTTTCCAGACTGAGAAATTTTTGCAGTATAGCAAGTGATTATAATTGTGATTCTAGGAAAGCACTTTTTCTTATTTCAGCATATCAAGACACTTGCTTAAATTAATACTTTATCGAGCACATCAAATTATTTAAAGTGAGTTATGCATATATAGCACATCTTTGATCTGGTATAAGTAGTTTATACATTTATTATTGCCCCCATTTTACCATCATACTATCACCCAACAATTCTATCCTTTTAACTTATCAATCCCTATCTATATTGCCATGTATTTGTGGTTCCTGGGGAATTCCATAGTTTTATTCATTCTCTTCTTCTATATTTGTAGTTTAAGCTATGGAATGTATGTAATTTTCAAATTACAACCATTTGTTTAGCAAGTGTTCAATATTATGATGGTGATGAAAACAATGACTTCCAACAGTCTTTGCACTTACATCGTTGCAGCATCCCCATAGTCTTGTGATTTGATTTGGGCACTTGGCAACTGGCATGGATTTATACAAAAGTTACAGTGACCTGGGATCACATGAACACAATTTGCAAGCTTCCCAGCCAACTTCTGACAGGCAAAGTCAATGGGGAAAGCCATATTTGTTTAATAACAACATGATTCACTTAAAGACCATTGTGATTCGTTTAACAACTGTGGCAAAAAAGTCATAAAATCAGACACAACTGAATTTTTCTTTTGTGTATGATACAAAAATTCTAAAAAATTCTAATAAATATAAATTGAAAGATGAGCATTTGTTTGACATATTTTAAATAGTTGGCACTGAAGCTTTTTCTCTCTACAGTAATGGATTACCTTTTTCTTTCTATTGCATAGAAGACTGTGAGAAATGATGTGTAACTATTAAGAGGTCTTGAATGATAGTTTACAGAAAGATTTTGAATTTAGGTCAACTAATCCCTATTATAAAGTTTAAATTATCTATGAATCACTTGCTAATTGCCATGTGATTGTTTAATAGGGGCGCAGATCAGTTCGCTATGGAGATTTTCAGTATTGTGACCAAGCCAAATCTGTGATAGTGGTAAGTTACATTGTTTAACTTTCCTTAATTAATAGTAAATTATTGGTTCAGCATTACCATCTCACAATTATAGCTTATCTGTACTTATAACAAAATGCATGCTTTAAAGTTGCAAAGAAATAAAATAATTATTCAATATTGGAAAGACAAAGACTACACAGGAATGAAATATGTTTGATTGCTCCTTAGTTGCAAAGGATATTGGGGAAAAATGGTATAAGAATTTAAATTGACATATGATGCTATTCTTTTATCAATTTGTAAGATAATTCAAAAGCACTTACTGAATTAAAATTGTTGGCATCTTGTATTAAAAATTATACCTTGCAAATAACATTTTCCTTAACCTTTTTAAAGTATAAGTGATTATAATTTGTTTTAATGAAACATTTGACTTTTATACCCTTCTTCTCTTACTCATTTTAAGAGAAGTACTACTCGCCAGACTCGGCCATTGAAGGTTCAAGTTATGCGTTCATCTATTGTTGCCCATCAAAGCTTTGGTCTGAAGCTTCTCACTTGGCTGAGTAACATTATCGGATATTCAGGTACTGGAGTTAAAATATCTTTTAAAAAAAAAGATCTGAGGGAAAATGTATATGAATGAAAAACTAGAAAATATTTCTATATACTGAAAGATAAGGGTAAATATAAACAAAATGTTCTAATTAATTAAAAGTTTTTTTACTCAAAAAACCCTTTAAATTGGAAGAAATATGTAATTGGATTTCTTAATATTATTTTTCTAAAAGAAGCTGCAAGAATATTTTGCACTGAAATCTTATTGTGGGAGTGTATTCTTTCTTGAATATTCAGTATTCAAAGTCATCTCATGGAAGGAAAATGTTAAAGGCACAATTGTGCCTCATTTATATCAAATTAAGACAGAAAAGGTTGACTTGATTTTGACTTCTCTTGTTTATATTATTTGTGGAGAAACTCCCTTTTTTGCTATTTGACACATAAGTGATGACAGTTCAACAGCAGTCGGAAGGCAGCTGATCTCTCCATTTCAGCTATGTAATTAAAAGCAAATTTAGCAGTATTTCACTTTGAAAATTCTGTTGCAAGGGTCCATTTTCTTCTTTTGAGATGGGAACTTGTGCTACGCTTTTTAAAACTCTTAGGAACTTTAAGAAATGCAATTACTATTATATATAGCTAGTTTTAATTTAAATAGTCAATGTAAATACTTAAAAATGCTAAGGTTCTGAATATTAGTGATTAAATGTCATAAGTATAACAGAACTAAATGTATGTGAAATTTGATTATGGAGGCAGACCAATGCCCCCTTTTGACTCTTCTCTCCTTTTTAATTAGATGGTCTTCGTAGAATATTGTGCCAAGCTGGTTTACAAGAAGGACCGGAAGGAGAAAATTCTTCCCTTGTTGATAAATTGATGCTTTCTGATTCTAAACTTTGGAAAGGTGAATTATTTGTTCTTTTTTAAAAAAAAAGAATTCTAATATCACCAAGTGTTGATACGTTTTATGTAGCCTGCTATGCATTGCTTGCTTCTTTGGCCATTTTCCTGCATGACCAAAGAATATGTATTTTTGCTACTTGCTAAGTATCAGGCTATTTTTAAGCATTCTCTCAAGAAGCGATTTCTATTAACAGTTTCAAAACCTGTTCTGAATAAAAATGCATAGGATTATATTGCGATCCCTTTATAATTAGTAGAACTAATTTTATAGGGTTGATTAATTTCTGACCAGGATTTGGGAGCACAGTTTGAAGTTCATTCTGATAAAACAGCATCTTTCTCCTCAGAATTTGTACATATTTATTGTAAATATTTATTATTTAAATATCTGTAAATATTGAAATGTTTATTAATTTGTAAATATGTATTGTAAATATTGTGGCAGCCCCTCAAATATCAGAATCTGAGAGGTTCCACAAAGAGGAGGGGGTCAACCTATTTTCTAAACCACCAGAAGGCAAGACAAGAAACAATGGATGGAAACTAATTAAGGAGAGAAGCAACCTAGAACTAAAAAGAAATTTTCTAATAGTGAGAACAGTTAACCAGTGGAACAGCTTTCCTTCAAAAGTTGTGGATGCTTCATCACTGGAGACTTTTAAGAAGACACTGGATAATCACTTGTCTGTAATGGTATAGGATAGGAATAGCAGTAGCATTTTGAGTTACATACCACTTCATAGTGCTTTACAGCACTTAAGCGGTTTACAGAGTTCACATATTGCTCCCAACAATCTGGGTCCTCATTTTACCGACCTCAGAAGGATGGAAGGCTGAGTCAACCTTGAGCCAGTCAGGATCGAACTGCTGGCAGTTGGCAAAGTTATCCTGCAATATTACATTTTAACACTGCACCACCACGGCTTTCCTGCTTGTGCAGGAGGTTGGACTAGAAGACCTCCAAGATTCCTTACAATTCTGTTATTCTGTTAAATACATGCTCATCATCTGGATAAGCAACATTATACAAAGCCCAGAAAAAAGTAAGAAATAATTCAGTAAACAAAATTAAGGCGGGAGATAAAAGGAAATCTAAAGTTCTTTTATACCCACACTATTCACCATACCTCTCCATATCTTTCTGTGCTTACCCAACATCCTTGCTTCCACCACATTCTGAAATTAATTCATATATACTTTACCTCGTGCTTCTTAAACTTCTTTCTTTCTGAGAAACCCTTTAATGTTGACAAGCACAACTCTTCCTTATAATCCAGTCACTCTTCTTTCATATAACTGTTTAGATTTTTCAATAATTTTTTTCTCCATATGATCAGACCACTTCGCTGAATTTTCTTCATAGTGATCATAATTTAATATCCATCCATCTATTCATAACCCTTTTCTTGTTTTAGCTACACAAGGTTCTTAGATAACTAATTCCCACTGCATTCATCTTTTATACTTCTGACACACAAAATTAATCATAGGATTAGAAGGAATCTTGCAGGTCTTCTCATCCAACCCTCTGCTCAGGGTAGAAATTTTCATAACTTCCTGTCAAATGTTTGACCATTATTTTCTTGAAAGTTTCCAATGATGGAACACCCATAATTTCAGGAAACAGGCTGTTCCATTGCTTAGTAGCATATTACAAAATGTGCAAACACATGCTGATATATGCAGCCATTTTCACCCATTTTGACAAATACTCATTTTCCGCAATAGTCAACATACTAGCTACTACCTTTTACCAACATTTTTCTATTTTAAGAATCTCCATTATTTCCCCTATTTTTTAGAAGGCATTTTGCCAGTATGCATTAATTCATTGTTTTATAGGGCCATCTGTTACATAATAGTTCCATGGTGTAAAAATGTTTAGTGTTATTTAGTATTTAGTATCATTTTTAATAGACTATTCTCATGAAAGTGATCATCTAATATATATATTCTTGATGATTCCTTACTCTACCCTCAGGAGCTAGAAGTGTGTATCATCAATTATTCATGAGCAGCCTACTTATGGATTTGAAATACAAGAAACTGTTTGCTCTCCGGTTTGCCAGAGTGAGTAATTTTCAGTTACAAATTCTTTATAATATTACTGATCTGGCTTGGTTACAACTTTAATTCTGGATGAAGTTGCACTCTCCCTATAGAAAATCATCTATGGTTTGGGAGTGGCACCTGCTATAGCAGCAGGCAAAAGCCAATTGTGGGCCTTTTAGAATCAGGAGACCATTGCAACAATGCCTTGTAAGCTTCCACAAGTTCCAAATGCAGCAACCAGTCCACTAACTAGAGGTAGCAAATTAACTAGTGTTACATCTCTGTTGTGATTACTGCAATGATTACAAATATGATTCTAGAGCAGATTCAAAGTACTCTACATAATTTGACCCCCAAATGTGTATAGAATAGTTTTCTCATCTAGTTTGAGATCACGTCCTGTGGTCTCTGAAGGATCACCATCCAGATAAAGTAAATGGTAGTTCTTCTCAGTGGCTATCTTTCTCTTTAGAATATCTTGCCTCCTAAGATATAAAATGCCCCTAACGTAGTTGAATAAATGAAGATTCAATTTTTATGAGGCATTTTTTGATACTCAAGGTAAAAAGGTGGCACTTCACTAGTTGGTTGAATTATTATGCAACTTCTCCTAATAAATATCATGTTATTTAATTGGCCTTGAATTGAATTGAAGTAATGTTCAATTTTCCATTAACTCTTATTCTGTTGTGTATATTGTAAAATATATTTCTATATACTGCACAACTCCAATTTACTTTAAATATTGGTTGAATCCAGAAATATTTCCTATAACAATGGATACATTTGGTATTTGTATTTAATTTCCTATTGTCCCCTTATCCATAGGTTAGTAATTTGAGATATAAACAGTTGCCAGTTTTAGGACATAGTTTTCCATCACAAATATGAAACTTAGAGAAAACATCCAATCAGTGCAGATTAGAGGTGAATTTCCCCTTGTTGTTTAGAATTATCGGCAGTTGCAGAGAGATTTTATGGAGGATGATCACGAGCGGCCAGTGTCGGTGACTGCTCTCTCTGTTCAGCTCTTCACTGTACCTACTCTGGTGAGTAGTGCTATCTTTTTTTAAAACTGATAGTTGGCACTTTTTGCCTTTTTTGCCTTCTTCTTAATAGAATTATGAGCGATTGCAGAATGATTATGTGAAAGATGACCACGACAGAGAGTATTCAATTGCTGACCTCTCGGTGCAGATTTTCACAGTACCTTCTCTTGTAAGTATTTCAATGTTGAATGAAACCCTCTGTTTGCTCTGAAGGCCACTTAAATCTAATACAGATATAATATATTATTATTATGTTTGGAATCCTAAATATTGATTGAGTCTTATAAAATTTCATGATTAAAGAAGACAGAGCCTGCCTGTAACATAATTATAGTCTGTTGATTGAAAAAAAGAGAGCCAGTATGTGGTAGTGGGTAAGGCAGCAAACTAGAAACCAAGAGGTTATGAATTCTAGTCCTGTCTTAGGCGCATAGCCAGCTGCACAGAAGATGGTATCATCTTTAAACTCCAAAATATGAGTCCAATACATGGGTCATCTAGATACATACAGCATACTAAACTTTTGGTTCTAAGACCAAAAAAATTGGGAACCATTGTACTATAAAAATCCAAGAACAGCCTTGAATTGAAGGAAGTGCATATCCTGTCTTAGATTATAGCTTGACTTTTGGGGGTGTGCCTAATATAAGCTCTACCCCCAAAATAAGTCCTAGTTTTGGGGCAAGGCACACACCTAAAAATCAAGCTGGGGGGTGTGTGGAGCTGCCCCACATGCTCCACAACCACTTATATTGCAACCAGGCCTCCTCGCCAGCCCACTTCTTCTGCAGTGTCCCCAGGCCTGCATTTTGCAGTCAGAGGCCTTTCTGGAAGACCACTGCAGCTGAGAAACGAGCTGTGGATTCAATCCATAGCTCAGTTCTGCAAGGTCCTGCAGCTGAGAAACAAGTTATGGATTGAATCCATAGCTTGGTTCTCGGTTCCAGTGGCCTTCCAGAAAGGCCTTTGACTGCGAAATGCAGGCCAGAGCTCCATTCTCAACTGCAGAATGAAGCTGCTTTTTCGGCCGCAGAAGAAGTGGGCCAGGGCTACCAAAGTGAGTGGAAAAGACATCCCCTCCCCCCAAAATAAGACCTGGTTCCTCTTTTGGAGGGGAAAAAAAAAAGACCGGGTCTTATTTTGGGGGAAACTAAGTAGTCGTTTGAAGTTACAGAGAAGTAAATTCTGCTTGCCTGCTTTACTGATATAATATAAACACTATTCAGCAGTGAAACCATCTCCCTAGACCAGGGGTTGGCAACCTTGGCTCTTTTATGACTTGTGGACTTCAATGCTGGCTCAGGAATTCTGGGAGTTGAAGTCCACAAGTCATAAAAGAGCCAAGGTTGCCTACCCCTGATCTAGGGAGATGGATGTTTCAAAGCGGAAGCTAAACATCTGTCTGTGATACTTTGATTTTTCTACCTGCATTGGCTAGGGATGGAACTCAGTGGTAGAAGTCTCCCTTGCAACTTGATGATTCTATTCATATTTTGGAGAAATATAGGTGGATGCTATAAGAAAAATGGGTATCCTCTTAAATTATCTCAATAGCACACATTGTAAAAATGTTTGTTGTTGAGATAATTTCAGTGCCATATAACTTCAGCAAATTTGTATGTTCATGCTCTATCAATTATAAAAAAAAATGAATGTGATTACTATTCATGAGATCAGAGTACTTACCAGCAGATGTTCATTCTTAATAGATGATATTAACTATCAAAATTTTAGAATAATGGTATATTTATTTAAAAGTAAAATTTTTAGAGGCATGGATTTCTAACAGTTTATCTTATCCTTCCTTTAATTATCTTGGAACATAATGATTCTGCTGGTTTCCCATTCAGGAACTATCTGCCATTTGGTGCTGAAAAGAACAAATAATTATTGGAAGCTGTTGCTTCAGTTTCTGCAGTTTCTGATTAAAACACACTTTAAAATGTACTTTTGCTATAGGCAAGAATGTTAATTGTAGAAGAGAATCTCCTGACTACTATAATCTCAACATTTATGGATCACTTACGACATAGAGATATACAGGGGAGATTTCAGTTTGAACGGTATACTGCACTACAGGCATTCAAGTTCCGACGAGTGCAAAGCCTGATTCTGGATTTAAAGTAAGTGTGCTTACTTTATTTATCACACAAATGTATTTTTATATAAATACAAAAATCAGTCTGCAAATTTATTTCTGCTATACGTAGGTATGTGTTGATAAGCAAGCCAGTTGAGTGGTCAGATCAACTGAGGCAAAAATTTCTAGATGGCTTTGATGTCTTCTTGGAATTGCTGAGGTGTATGCAAGTAAGTAATTTATAAAAATTGTACCGTATTAATTGCATGATTACAAATGAGATAGTGAAAATTGTTTTTCATATAGTTGTTACATTTCCAATACCTTTTACATTAGGTTTCTCTGTTCTTGGGGATAGAATCACTTTCATTGACTGATTAATGTCATCTCAGTTTCAGTAAAGTTAATTTATCTACAGTCCTCTTTATTAATCAAGATTTTCTTGTGAAGAATTGTTGAACCTCAGGAAGTCAGATGCTAATAGCAACAGGGTGGTGAGCCAGAATTGTAATGGATATAATTTTCAGCATTGCAGGTTTGTCTAGTTCCTCTACCACAAATGAAATTAGGATGAGCAAACTACAGGAAGCCTTTTTCTATCTTGGCTATAGACAATCACTAGGCAAAGACTTGCTGGGTCTTAAGCGTTAATATTTCTTTATTGTGTCTATGTCTGAAGGGTATGGATCCAATAACCCGCCAAGTAGGACAGCATATTGAAATGGAACCAGAGTGGGAAGCTGCATTCACACTGCAAATGAAATTAACACATGTTATCTCAATGATGCAAGACTGGTGTGCTTTAGATGTAAGTTGTTAAAATATTTCAAATATATTTGAATGAGGGGAATAAAGAATCCTCAAGATTTCTTTATGTGATTTGTATCAATAAGCTTAAGTTATTTAAAATGGAAATTCAAATGCTCATGATTTTTAAGCAAAAAACATTGGAGTAAAATAAATTAACACACAATCTTCAGGTCTGGCCTAGGATTATCTCAGAAGGAATAAAAGGAAAAGGAGGTGTTCATTACTATGAAATTAATTATTTGATGCAAAAATTGCTGTGAGTTATATATTTGTAGCTTCAGTTTTGTGCTCCCTCTCTAATTTTCTTTGGATAATTTAAAGGTTCTTTAGAACAGGGGAATAAAATAAAATAAAGGGGAAATTCCTCTTATTTTACTTATTGGAAACTTAGGCTGTTAAAAAAGTCTGTCATTAGCACAGAAGCACAAATGTATCCATTGAATCAGAGATGGACCGAACGGATTGAATAAAATTCATATTATTATAGTGATTCTGTGGATAACAAATGATAAATTATTTAGAAATATATGTCTAGCTGAGACAAATCTTTGTATTCGAACAAACTGATACAATGGGAGGCAGTTTGAGAAATATTCTAGTTTCACTTTTTTTGCCTACCTCTTAAAATGGTATCCTGAATGTGAATATGGCTGGATGCATTTTTTTTAATGAAAAAAGAATATTTTGATAGCTTCAGACATGGCAGGAGATCACTGTATGAGGAAAAGAGCTAAAATTCATAATCACTAGATGCAAAACAAAGTCTTGTGAGCTGTCTCTGCCAAGGCCATCCTCTCTACTCTCTAGAAGTCTAATAAAGGAGAATGTTTGTAGTTTAGGGTTGACATGAGGAGTCTTTGGTGTTCTCTGAGCTTTGTTGTTTTCTTGCAGACATTTCATTACCCAAACTAGGTAATATCATCGGTCTCTAGAAGTCTGCTCTGAATGAAATGATAAAATATCCTAGAAGAAAGTACTAACAATAATAGTGCAGCTGCCATTGCAAAGCAAGCCCTAGAGGCTAGAATAGAAAACTTTTTCTCACCAGTATTTTTTTCTCTTATTTGGAGATAAATAAAATCAGAATTTAAAGTGTCTTATATGTGCTTCCTATGTTTTTATTTCTGCCATTAAAGTTTTCTTTGTAAGATGGATTTGTATATCTCCCGCCGCCTACTATGATACAGTTCTAACAGTTATTGAAACAGCATTGGCAAATACACTCTAAATAGGCTAGATAATCAATTTTCACTTTTTTATCTTGATTACAAATGCATGATAATTTTGTTACAATTTTAAGAGCTGTATTTCCTGTAAATATAATTACCTTTAACCTTTATAGGAAAAAGTGCTTATTGAAGCATATAAGAAATGTTTGACTACTTTGATGCAATGCCACTGTGGTTTTACTGATGGAGAACAGCCTATTGAACTCAGTATGTGTGGCCATTCAGTTGAAACTATCAGATACTGTGTTTCTCAGGAAAAAGTTAGCATTCATCTTCCTGTTTCCCGTTTACTTGCAGGTAAGACCTAAATTGCTTAGTTGATTTGGTGGTTAGATTTTAATGTGGTTTGTTTTCCTAGTTGTAACACAAATTTTGTCTTTTGATTGGTATCGTTGTTGGTTGCAAATGAAGTCAATTCACTTTACAACAAAGACAGCTAGTAGGGTGTATGAAATTTTTATATATATATTGTCAGGTTCAAATTCAACTATTCTTACTGTTATAGCAATTTATCATTGTTGTGTGTGTGTGTGTGTGTTTGTGTGTGTGTGTGTTAGATGTAGCTAAATCTTGCATACTATAAGGAATGGTATCCATCTTCTATTGGTTCAAAGGCCACAACAATTTTGGGGTAGCAGTAAAAATCCATACTTTAAAAATGGACATCTACAAAGTTCTTTTGTGAGGTAAATTGGATTCATTCATAAATATTTTCCCCCTAAAATGCAAAAACTTTTCCCAATTTTTTTATCCCATCCATTTTGTGGAAAATATTGAAGCCACAAAAAGAATGCCCAAAAGTATTTGTATGGTTCCCATGATATATTTTTTTGTAATCTTAGTGTGAGGTTTGCTCAGAAAATAGGTTGCTTGTCATGCCCCAGCAGGATACTGTATGTCAGTCTTATGCATAGACAAGCCATAAACCTGTTGCTTGTCAAGACACACCATGCACTATAAATGGGTACTGTAATTGTTTGATTATAAAGGTTGAAGATCTCACCAATGGAATCTAAAAATAATTTTATAACATTCCAAAACGGGGTGTAAATTTTCATCCACATATAAGTAATTTAATTTCATGCAATAGCCAGGTTGTGTTCTGCCCAGTCTGGTTGTAATATCTGGAGTAAGAATGTAAAACCTATCTGCCACTCTTTAAACAGACATGACTTTTCCTAGGATCCACACCTAAACCAGTTTTGAAAATAGCTTACTCTAATAATGTAACTGCTCTTCCTGATTACTCTTTTGGGACCTGAATGAGGGAATGCTTCTTTCTTCGTTCTTTTAAATCTGTCATCAGCCTTATTTACTATTGATTCTAGTATCTTTCTGAGTAGCTTAAGAAGATTGATAATCATGTCACTATATTACAGTGTTTTAGCACTTCACTAAGTGAAGTGGCTTTCTGTCACTTCTGGCTGTGACTCTGGAAAGAGTAACACTCCTTTGAAGAAGCAAGTTAGCAATTTGGTGGTTGTCTTAGTCCAGGGGTAGGGAACCTTGGCTCTTTTATGACTTGTGGATTTCAACTCCCAGAATTCCTGAGTCAACATGGCTGGTTCAGGAATTCTGGGTACCCCTGTCCTAGTCTCATGGTTACTGCTTGATCAGCAGGCAAAGGCTATGTCTAGGAGAACTTTTGCTGATCATTGGCTGGTGCACCATTTGCAATCTTTTTTGAAATTGGAAGCTTTATTCCATTAATTCACATTGTAACCATCTCTGTACAGTAGCTATCTAAACATGGCTACTGTAGAAAACCACCTTTAAGACTACATTTGCTATAAAAATAGCAGTTTGTTTACTGATAAGTGAGAGTCATTACAGTTATGTGACATTGATTCTTTGGATGCTACACTGCCCACCAGTAGACTTCCAAATGCTGTTCAAAATGATGGTTTCTAATTTATAAATCTTTCATAGCTCAGTACTAGATATCTCCAGAGCAGTGTTCTTCAAGTACAACCATCCATTTGTCCCAAGCAGAGTTGATACAGATCCCATTTTATGTTAAATGCATACGTGAGAATATAATGTTTTCCTGTTATGGTTTCAATCCTGTGGAATAGCCTACACAAGATCCTGTTGGCTCCTTCTCCGGTGGTATTTAGAAAGATAGTGAAGACGGGTTTCACATATATTTAACCCATAATCTATCATTTAAACATAAAAATGTTTTTAATTAGCAGATGCTGAAATGGCAGATTTGGTAATTTGATCAATACAACAGTATTGATCAAATTACAAACCACCAGGAGTGTTTGGGGGATTCTGGTAGTATATAGGTACAATAAATAAATGTTGTAGTATAATCAATATAATGCATTTTTGTTTTTAATATAGGTCTACATGCACTTTTGAGCAAAACAGAAGTAGCATACAAGTTTCCAGAACAACTGTCAATGGTGAGTAGTGTTATGTTAATAAACCTCTAAGACTGGGGTACAAGTGAAATGTTAGTTAGAGGGATCCAGAGGTGACAGCGCCAGAACCATAAAAGCCATAACTTCCTATTTTTTAAGTCATGGCAATGAATTTTTGAATGCTCTTTAAAAATATAAAACAAATACATTGAGTTTTGTGTTATCTTTAATTGATACAGAGTGAACTTAGTCCACCTATGTTAATAGAACATCCCCTGCGATGTCTAGTTCTATGCGCCCAAGTTCATGCTGGAATGTGGCGGAGAAATGGATTTTCACTTGTTAATCAGGTAAGTCCTGAATGGAAAAAAATATTTAATCTATTTCTTTTATCTGAGAATCATAGAACAGTTTGATTTTCTTATTGCTAAAGTGCTCTGCATAAATGATTAATTTTAAAGCTGTGGTCTGATTATTTTATATGTTTTCCTAAATTTGTTTATCAAGGGTAGTTTTTTTGAACTCAAAAGGTTTGTTTATTTATTTGTATGTATGTACAGTATGTCGTATTCAATATGTGTGACACTAAATAAATATATGAAGTTTTAATCTCCTCTGCAAGCTGTGGTACCTTTTTTAAATCTCAACTTTATTATTTTTTATAAATAACTCAAGATGGCAAACATCTCTAATACTCCTTTCTCCTCCTATTTTCCCCACAACAACAACCCCTTGAGGTGAGGTGAGAAAGCATAACTGACCCAAAGTCACTCGGCTAGCTTTCATTCCTGAGGTAGAGCTAAACACACAAATTCCTGGTTTTCTAGTCTGTGGCCTTCACCATAGACCAAAAAAATTTCTCCTACAGGGTTGCTGTGAGAAATATGCTGTGTACTTTGCAGATGAAATCTCTTGCATTTCTTCTACATTGGGTTCCAGCTTTAGAGCAGTGCCAGTGGAGGTTACAGGGCTAAATCTTGCAAGGTTATTTGAGGGGCATTTCATCCCGTTGCACCGGAGGATGTGAACAGGACTTTTGCAGCTGCTAGTTTGGGCATCTCAGTGTTCCATGTGTCTCCTGGCTGGCTAAAGTTACCTGGAAGGAGACATGACTGGGTTTGGGAGGTGGTTAATAATTCCTTGAGGGAGGGGTGGTCCCATCGGCTCTCAAGGAGGTGGTGGTGCAACCTCTCCTGAAGGGGCCATTGCTCAACCCAATCAGTCTGGACAGCTTTGGGGTCTGTCAGTCTCTAACCTCTCATTTTTGGTATAGTTGTATAGAAGGTGGTCACATAGCAGCTGCAGAGAACCGTGAATGAAGTGGATTATATGGAACCTTTTCAATTAGGCTTCAGACTGGGTTACTGGACTTAGATGGCATTGATCATGCTCTTAGATGACCTCTGGCAGAAATGCAGTGGGTTCTCTCTTCTCTCCTATTTAACATCTACATAAGGCTTCTGAGTGAAGTGAGGATTTGGGGTGAGATATCATCAATATGCTGATGATACTCAACTTTATACCCCCACCCTCGACTGCCTGAATAATGCTGTGAATGTCCTGTCCCAGTGCTTGGAGAATATCAGCATCTGAATAGGGCACAATGGGATTTGATACACCAAGATGCAAATGAATGGCTTTGAGTATTTGGGCTAATCGGCCATAGACTTGAGAAGTTTACATTAGCAATCCACAATACAACATCCAAAATATCTAACCAATTCAAAATGTCCATGCTAAAAAATATAGAATTAAACCATAGAAACAGATGGAGTAAATTTAGTTTAAATATTAAATGCAGGTGATGATAATGGTGCTACAATATACTAAAAGCTAAATTCTATCTTGAATAATTTCTGAAATATAATCAATGAGGCAAACCTTAATTCTAAGGGACACCATTCCAACAATTGTGCAAATTATTCCAACTGTTTTCTGCAACAGAAAACAGTACCTCCAGGCCTCAGTTCCTCTCATTTCATGAAAGTGGGGCTATAATTAAGAGCTTTTCCAAAGATAAATGTACCAGATAGGCTTATTCAATAGGAAGAGGTGGATACATACAAGGCATTATAGGTAAAAAACATCACATCTGGGAATTTATTGGAATGAGGGGCCTGAAACTGAGGTATAATGTACCCATAATAAGCAAGCCACTGATTCTTTATCAATTTCCAAATGATCTTCAACATAGAGTGCATTGTAATCATATAGTGATGACAGCATGAGTTTCATTGTGAAAATATTAAGTCCATATGGGACCCTAATTGGCACAATGTCCAGGGCTTGGAAGTAGCACTCATGGCCATGGCTTCCATCTTCCAGACCAGTAGCCATGAATCCAAGATACTTCCAAATAATCAACCTTCTCCTTTAGATATTTTGAGAGATAATACTGGAGTTGACCAATGTCCTCAATGAACAAACAATAACTCTCTCTTGCATGGATGCATTTTCAGCCTGTTTCATTGTGTCTTCAGCCTCAAGACACAGGCTTAAGACTTTCACAACCTCATTACTATGGTCTGGAGTGGCAGTGTACATTTGAGCATTATGAGCATAGTGATGGTATTATAACCCAGGGGTAGTCAATCTTGGCTCTTTTATGACTCGTGGACTTCAACTCCAAGAATTCCTGAGCCAGCTTAGCTATAGCTTAGCTACCCCTGCTATAACCCAAACCAATGTACTATCTCTCCAATGGTATTATGTAGATTGAGGTAATGGGGCAAAGAGCCGTGAGGCTCCCCATAAAAAAAGAAACCACTAAGTCAATCTCACCTCCCTAGTCACCACTGAGCAGAACTGCCCACAAGGAAGAAACAGCTACTGTTACTTCCAATCTTCAAGAGTGGTCCATAAAAATTTCATGATTGATGGTACTGAAAGTTGCTGACAGATCTAAGAGGACCAGAAGGGTTGGGGAGTCTAGGTCCTGATAAAAGTCATTCACCAATACAATTTCTGTCGCATGCCAAATCCTGAATTATGACTGAAAGAGAAATAACAATAATAGATTATAATTAGATAATCCACTGCATTCTGTAGCTGAACGCTCTTGATCCTCTTAGTAACTTTAGTGAAGGTTGGAGACAGAAAAATAGTTGCAAAAAATGGCTGAATCCAGTGACAGGAGCTTCCTTCAGGACTACAGGCATCATCATCTCACACAGAACAGACACTGACAATCTCCTAAACATGCCTCCACTTGCCTCCAAATGTGCAGAATGCAGCTGATGAGAATCAATAAGATTAATTTTCTCTTACATTAATACTTCTATTTATGTAACCTTCTCGGTATATACTTCTATAAATATTTATACAACCTCCAGTTATTCAATACTGTGTCGCCTGGGTCTCCCTCCTTATCTGCTCCTTCTTCTTCCATCTAAATTGATGTTAACTATCTTTTAACCGTGTTCTCTTTTCAGCCAATCACAAAAAGTTCCCCAGATTTCATAATAGTCTGACTCTGTCTTATCTTTAATCGTCATTGTTAGTCTATTCATTTCTGCACATTCCAGTATTTTCCCAATTACCTCTCCCTCTGGGGGGGCTTTCAGTGCTTTCCAATTTTGTGCAAACACAATCCTGGCTGCCGTAATTATATGAATAATTAAATATGTTTTCTCTTTATTGTATTTCCCTGGTATATAATACAGATAGGGAAATTTGGAGAGAGGAGTTGCTCGGACATTACCCCTGATACAGTGAAAGGGGAAATGGGCGAGCAACACCAAAAGTCATGTGTATGTATTTATTTCATTTTATTAAAAGTATCTTTAAAAAAAAAAGAAAGAGAATCATGTTAGAAAATCCCCTTTTTACTTTATCAGAGTCTACAAGTCAAGAAGATTCCCAGGTTATATGGTAATTTATTTTAACTGATCTTGTTCTTGTGAAGTCAAGATTTTGATGAATCTGAGAAATTTTGTCAGCAAAATGCAATGTAAAGTGGTTGTAGCAACAAGACATCAAAATCCAAATTGAAACATATATCAAATTCTGAAAAATTTCTCTTTCAGATATACTACTATCATAATGTAAAGTGCAGAAAAGAAATGTTTGACAAAGACATAGTAATGCTCCAGGTAATATTTTTGTTTGGATAAACCTTGAGATGTCACTAATATACCTGCCTTCTTAAAAAAAGTTTTTAAAAGTATTTCCTTACATTTTCTCTAATCAGTTGAGTTCTTTGGGAAAAAAATACTGCTTAGGTATTTGATAGTCTGATGCTCTGTGCTTATGGGCATTTTTTTTCTTTTCTGGTTCAGTGACAAATCAAGGATCCTGGGAAGGAGGGCCACATGTTTTCTTCTGTGCATAAACTTACATTAAAAACAATACTCAGAATAGTCCTTTATGCTGTCAGGTTTTTTTTTTTCAATGTACTTACCCTTTTGTGGCTATGGAAAAGTTATATATTAATATATTCTGCTAAAACTGGTATTTTTAAAAAGTACAAAACTTGGAAAAACAAATATTCAGTATGCTGCTTTTGCTTGAAAGAGATATTACAGTTAAAAGTTTTAGAAAGGACTATAATATGAAGACTCATGCTGCTTCATATGCAACTATTTCATTAAGTATTTGTATGTATAAAGGAAGACAGATTTTATATGTGAGTATGGCCAATGGTACAATATTTCCAAATAAGTTTATATCATTCTGTTCTCTTTATCTAAATATCCTTTTTTTTTAGACAGGTGTGTCTATGATGGATCCAAACCACTTTTTGATGATGATGCTGTGTCGCTTTGAACTTTATCAGATATTTAGTACACCTGATTATGGCAAAAGATTCAGTTCTGAAAATACCAATAAGGTACATCATGAGATGTTGAAGATACAGTTTTAAAGCTTTAAAAATGTATTATAAATAAATTACAAACTGTTATATCTTAATGTGAAAATATCTATAAGTGCTTCCTAATATATTTTAGTCCTTGTTTCTTTCAGGATATGGTTCAGCAAAATAATACCCTCATTGAAGAAATGTTACACCTAATTATAATTATTGTTGGTGAGTTTATGCTTTTAAGTTAATATCTATTGATCAATTTTATGATTAATTCTAATTATAGTTAGAAGTTCTCCTATTTATAGAGGTTGTTTAAGTTCGTTCATTAATTTAATGTAGTTACAACTCCAAATGTTAAAGAATGAAAGTACAAATTACTTCATGCTCCTTGATAAAATAAAATTATTTTGGGGGTGTTTATTATCATGATACAATCCTTGTATCTTGTCATACGGAAATATAACTTATCTCTTCAAATGCTGTACTAGAAAAAGTAGTCACTTCTGTGGCTTCTATTCAGCATATGCATAAAATTGAATTGATCAGTGCTTAGTGAAATTATTAATTTGTTTTATAGGAGAAAGATTTACTCCAGGAATTGGGCAGATTAATGCTACAGATGAAATCAAAAGAGAGATTATTCACCAGCTGAGCATCAGACCCATGGCTCATAGTGAATTAGTAAAAGCATTGCCAGAAGATGTGAGTCTTGTTAAAAATATTTCAATTGTACTTTTTAAACTGTTGGGTGATCTTTGGGTATTTCTAATATGTTGGAATTGATGATGAAGATTCCTTCAGATAGCAAGGAATTAAAAGTTTTTATAGAAAATGATTTCCCAGCATGCTTTATGGGAGTATTAAATACTTTCCTCACAATTTTATACTCCCTAGAAATTAATAGATATATTAAATTTTCCAAACCATCCAGAGTACTTTATTTTGTTGCAATTTAATCACAGTGACTGTTATTACTACAATCATAAACAGGAAGGTGACATATGGGAAATAAAATTTCAAAAACATAAAAAGATATTGTTATTTCAAATTATTTTGCATTCAAATTGTTGTGAGATTATAGAACTGTGTATAAAAAGTATACTCAATCACAATAACTAATGTTAAGATAGCACAGTCTTAGAGACTCTTAAATTGTTAACACTTCTAGGTTACCAATAAAGGAGAATATTTGTAGCTCAGGGTTGAAATGAGGGGTCTTTGTTGCTCTCTGAGCTTGGTTGTTTTCTTGAAGATGTTTCATTACTCAAACTAGGTAACATCATCAGGGCTAGTAAAGAGTGGGGTTCACTCTCAGTTTATATTCTACCTGGTGGGAGTGGTTCTTGGAGGTTCTTCTCCAAGTGGTCTTGGAGCATAAATTAACTCCAAGATTAACATCAGACCAACAATCAAGAAGTAAAACAATACCCCAATCAAGGAACTGCCACACAAGCTAACAATAAACAGCCCAACCAAAGAACCTCCAAGGCTAGTCCCACTAACGTTGACAGAGCAAGCCACTGAAGCAAACGTTACTCCTCACTAGCACTGACAATATTACCTAATTAAATATCTGCAAGACAACAACCAAGCTCAGAGAGCACCAAGGAGCTCTCACTTCCAGATTGATCTAGCTGATTTTTACCTTAGGGAATGTATGAATATATATGTATGTAGGGAATGTATGAAAAGCATATACATATAAACATATTTTTCCTTTGATTTCATAGGAAAACAAAGAGACTGGAATGGAAACTGTCATTGAAGCAGTTGCCTGTTTCAAGTAATGGCTTCCTTACAACAAACCTCTTTAAATGTGTAAAATAGTATATATTGTGACCCAGTAAATACTGTTTAGGAATGAGTTATACTTCATTTTTAAATCCTAGTTTTTGATTGGTTTAATTGAAAATATAGACATTTTACAAATTTAAGAATTGACAGCTGTTGGAGATAATGTAAGTAGTAAGATTCTGCATGTTCTGAGGGACTTTTTTGTTAAAAGTACTGACAAAGCAATTTTTTTTTTATTGCGATGAAAAATACTACGTGGAAAAACTTCTGAAAAATATAGTTATATTGCCAGGAAAAATATCTGTTGTCCCCCATCTCCCCAAATACACCAAACATGTATTTGAAGGCCAATTTATAAATTTGGATTTAGCCATTTCCTTGTTTTCGAAGGGTGGTCTTGCGTCAACAGGAATGAAGAAGTTGTTATGCCCAAAAGCAAAATGTTTAGTGGAGAAGCAAGGCAGAAACCACCAGTCTTGATGGTTATTCTCAGGGCAGTGCAGCTCAGGAGAAAATGGGGATTTCTTTCCCCTCTTACAATTAATAGCTTGACCATAAGCATGGTATCAATTGCCTGTGTACCATATATCACACATCTGTCATTTAAGAAGCTACACATTTATCTTATATGACGGTAAATTGAAGGGCTGTCAGTGGACCCCATTGATGACCTATATGAAGTCAAATATAAGGATTCAGGTGGAAGGGAAGTCCTGTGTACCTGGCATCATTCAGTCATCCTTCCAGTCAGTCAGAGGCCCTGAGTCTTATTTTTGCCAAAGTAGAATCTGTGCTTGTAAGCAAATAAGCTTTGTGTAGTCATTAATACTGATACTCAGTTAAAAGTATAAGATGTCATTCATATTGATGTGTTAGCATGCTTGTTGTTTCATGGAGTAGTTTAGAATGCTGTCGTTCAATTATTACAATGCTGATTAATTATTACAATGCTGATTATACATTTTCAATTATCTTTTAGGAAACCAGGATTAACAGGAAGAGGCTTATATGAGTTAAAGCCAGAATGTGCTAAAAATTTCAATTTATACTTTTACCATTTTTCAAGGGCAGAACAGTCTAAGGTAATTACGCAAAATGGAAACTTTCATTATATAATTCTATAAAATTATGAAGCTTTGTAGTACAGAAAACAGTTAAAATAATGACCTAAATTTGGATTCTCTTTAGTCAATACGTTGCAATGTAATGAGAGCACCCTGAAATAAATGCCTGCATTATAGATTCAGATTGAGTTTATAACAGTAGAGTATATCTTTGAAAGAAATAAAGTAGATTGGTTGTTTTGGTACTTGAAGTGTGAGTAGAAACAAAAAAGTGCTGCATGTATAGTTTCATGAAGGAATTAGAGATAGAAATTCTCTGCATGAAGACAATAGCAGACTCAGTTACAGCAGGAGAAAACAGTTCATTGAGAAACATAAATTTATAAATCTCTGAAGGAAGTAAGATATGGGCAAGAAATATGAGACAATTGGTGAGGCATTCATACAGGATAAAGATAATATATTACATGAGGAGGAAACAAATAAACAAAATTAATGATGTCAAGGTAGATGAAATATATGCCAGATGCTTACAGAGCTGAAAAAAAATTGACTGCATCTTTTCTGGTTTTGAAAACAGAAGGATGTTATAAGTTTGGAATTTCTTTTAAGTTTGATTTTTTGCTGCTATTGTAACTTTTGGAATTATTTTTCAGAACAGTAGTTGAAACAATTTTAAATGAAAAAAGGTACTGAATAACAAATGCAACCCATAGAATATTTAAGATTCTTAGAAATTCATCTGCCTATGGCCACATTGTTCAGTCTGGAATCTGACAGTTGTCTTGGGTTATATCTCATTTCTGTTACAAATCACCATCACCATCATTATCTTGAAAGTGTTATTGGGGAGCTGGAAGTTACAGCTGCTTACTATTGAGGCCTAGTTAGTTCTTGGCCAAAATGGCAGCACCATGACAAGATTGTACAGGAGTTACAATTTTCTCAGTATTTGATCTTACAATAGCATGTCAAATCTCAAACTCCTCCAAATAGTGGGTAAGATAATGGTAAAATTAATTTTGACTTTATAAACAGTTATTATGATTATTCTACAATCATATATTTCATTATTTCCCCCCTGCTGGCACATTCAGTATTAAGTTTGATAACTGTTGAAGGTGTCTAGGGGCTGCACTCAAGCCTTTGATGATTGCATCTTGGGCCTTCAGGTTGTTTAGTTTAGGTTATAAAATCTGTCCTGATACAAATATGAACAATAGAGATGAATGTTTTTGAGCTCAGGTAATATAAGAAATTGGAACATGAAATAAATGCCAAGAAATAAATTAGCTATCCAGAAATTATACTGTTGTCTTTAGTTTTCACATTGCTTTTCATTTTTTAAGGCAGAGGAAGCCCAAAGAAAACTAAGACGACAAAACCGGGAAGACACAGGTATTTATGCTTCTAGTTTGTATTGGACTCTCTGTATTTGCTGCTCTCATTTTTTTAATATACTGAGAAAATCATATTGACTTTAAGCTAGATGAACAGATGTTGTGAACTAAAACACTTTTTTTCAATCAAAAAATAATGCTGCCATTAAACAAACATCTGAGTATGCCATAAATCAGAGCTCCCCAACCTTTCTGGCTTGGCGGCCCGGAAGGAAAGGGAGCAGCAGGAAAATGTGCGCACACGCGGCCCCATGCCTGCACGTGGGCGGTGCTAGCGTGCATGCGCAAGCAGGCAGCGTCAGCTGCAGCGTATGGGTGGGCATCCACCTGCTGGCTCAAACAGGCCATTGGCACCCACGTGACGCTGGTAGTGGTGCTAGCATCCCCATGCATGCACAAATGGGGTTGCTAGTGCCCGCGCGGCAGTGCTACCATGAGGGGGGGCTCGCCAGCTATTCTCGGGGCCCGATAGCCAACAGGCCATAGCCCGGTACCGGCCATGGACCATAGATTGAGACCCCTGCCATAAATGTCTACATTATTTACCTCACTGCATTTGTATATGTGACATATTAGGCTGCTTCAAAATTTAGTATCAGCCAAGAATTGTACCTCAAAACTCAAAACACTTCCCAAACTATACACATTGTTCTTCAGATTATTCTTGCCTAATTTGGGATTCATGAAATAAATGTAGTCACTATGTATATAATGTATGTAATGTATTCTAGTGCTTTACTAGCTACCTGTATGGTTTCAAGTAACTCAGGAAATGTCTGTTAAGTGTCATACATTATGATTAGTGTTTGTGTTGAATTGCAATTTGTGCTTGCCTTAAATAAAACTTTTTAAAGATCATATTATCTGTGGTTTTCTTAGCATATCATGCTTGATTTCACTAAACAAATATAGTTTGAATTTGCTTATGCCAATCATGAAGTATTACAACATAATCTATAGAAGACTTTATAGAACTAAATATTGTCAGTCAGAATGGTCTGGCAATTAATTTTTAATCTCTGGATCATTTATTATGTTTTAATAACAGATATCATTAGCTCTGTCAGACTCTTTGACATAGAGTATTACCCCCCAGTGTTTCTTCATTCATCAAAAGTTATTAAATTGCATTGGATGCAACATGTGCCAGTTTGAGAAGCAACCAAATCTGTTTTGAGACATGTTACTTGAAAAGAAATCTCTTACTGAGTTGTTTACATCTCTTTAGGGATGTACAGTGGGTACGGGTAGAATTGTATTAAAAATAAAATAAACTAATTTATTTTGTTAATTTGAAAAGTTCCACACCTGTTCTTATATGTTCCTAATATACTGAATTACATAACTGTGTAATTTTCCCAATGAATTAACAACAATGCATTAATTTTTGTTTCAGCACTCCCACCTCCTGCATTACCATCCTTTTGCCCTCTGTTTGAAAGCCTAATTAATATTCTACAGTGTGATGTCATGTTATGCCTTATGAGAACAATCCTTCAGTGGGCAGTAGAGCATAATGGATATGCCTGGTCAGAGTCCATGCTACAAAGGGTGTGTAAATTTGCAGTTTTCATTAATTCAAGAATACAAATTATTTCTGATTTGTACTTCTGAAAAGGAAAATTTTGCCATTTTTTCCTAGATTCTCCACTTGATTGGAATGGCATTACAAGAAGAAAAACAACATATTGAGAATGCTAGTGAAGATAATCTTGTGACTTTTACATTCACTCAGAGGATTGCAAGTAGGTTACTACTTCTGCACAAATTGCAATCTCTTCATATTTCTTTTACCTAACATATAGTAAGATATTCAGTTTCAGAATGAATTGGTTATATTTAAAAACTTACTTTTATTAAGATATTAGAAATAATAAGAGTATGTGGAGATTCTCAGTCATCCAGGTCATAGTTGTCTCAAAGGTGCTTTTTTTCAAAAGGCAACTGAATTGCTTTTTCCTTGAGGAAGAAGATGTTTGACTTCTCATCTAAGAAGCTTCATTGCTTCTGGCAGGATAGTGGGGGCAATGGAAGGATTAGTTCTGACAGGATGAGGGGAGGGGTTGGAAGGATCATATTTCTTTGCAGTCATCAGGTTGTTAGCACTCTCCCTGAGACTCGGGAATTTATCTATGCCTTTAAGGTCACCTTGGTATTGCTGAAAGGACTGCATTGTAGACAGGAGATAGGTGGTGTCTTATCCCTCCCCCCTCTGTTGAGAGAGGGCTGCTCAGTGTTACGTAAATAGCCTCTTTTACCCCTCTTTCAAACCAGTGGTCCTCTCTATCAAGAATGTGGACTGTGCTGTCTTCAAAAGAGTGACCTTTGTCTTTCAAATGCAGATGGACTGCTGAATCTTATCCTGATGGGTTTGCTCACCTATGTTGTGAAGTGGTTGTTTTGTTTCACCAATGTACAGATGTGTACATTGCAGTACAATACAATGAGACATTTACATGGAAAATACACATATTAAATCTGAAGAACCCTTGCCCACTTCAGAACTGCATACCTCCAAATACAAATATATTTGTATTTTAATTGCCTTATTGCTGATTACAAATATTTTATTATAATTTTGTATATAACATGGTTTCTGTTTGTAAAAACACATATTCTCTTTTTCTGGCTAAGGATTATCCTACTCTTGTTTTTTACCATGTGCATATGATGCATTTCATGTATAGCTGTGACTATTATAGTTGATATATCTGTTATTTATATATATATATATAAATAGATTTCTTTTATTTTTGTTTGAAACAGGGCCTTGTGAGACACCCCGCAATTCCCCAAGTATATTAGCCATGCTAGAAACTTTGCAAAATGCACCCCACCTAGAAGTGCATAAAGACATGATCAGATGGATACTAAAGGTAAATTGTACTATACCGTACTATAAAGTTTTTTATAGTTTTGTGGCCAAAATAAAAAAAAGTAGCAAATACTAACATAGTTTCTTGTTCCAGACTTTTAATACTGTTAAGAAACTCCGAGAGAGATCTTCTACAAGTCCTGTTTTGGAGACTGAGGGAAATTTTATGGAAGAGGTAATATCAATGCAAAGGAAAAGCAACAAAATTTGTAGTAATGTGTGTCCAAAGACAGATTCTAAATATAATATGATAATATAGCCAGCAAGTTATTTTACAAATTATTATACATTACTAATACGTGTCTAATAATTGTGTCGAGTTTTCTAATTAAAAACGTTTTTAATCACTAGTAGAGTAGTGGTAGTCACAATAGGCAACTAATGGTGCATAGTAAAAGCTTTATTATTAATTGATAATGATTAACTGAGTTCTCTTTACCAAAGGGAAATTAATTTAATTCTGTAGCTTTATTTTACAGTTTAATTGAGTGCAATGTGAAGGAAAAGATTTAATAGAATTATGGCCCTACCATTCCTCGCATAATATGAAAGAAAAACAAATCCTGTCAAATCCAAATGTTTACTAGGTTGAGAGTGAACAAGCTGAAATTTAATTCCAGATAGGGTAGAGTACAGTTATCTGATAGAGTTGAGGATAGGTATACAATTGTTCTGAATAGGTTCCTCTGAAAGAAGTCAGGGAGTATATTTTCAAATTCTGTGTGGTAGTAGATGTAAAGAGCACATTTGCACACTTTCATTTAGCAAATATTCCTGAGCTGAATATATCTGGCAACAGTAATCCATAAGCATTATTGCATTGCTAGCATTATTATTAGCTTATTTCAGTGTGCTCTACGTGGAGCAACCCTCAAAGGTTCTCAGGAATTTACAAAATGGGACCACTAGGCCATTAACTTGGGCACATTTTTATGACCACATTGTACTAATGCTGAAAGAAAAGTATTGGATGCCATTTGTTACTTGCTTAGTAGAAATAGTACATTTAAAAACTTTGTCTATCTAAGGGTTTGACTCTTGTTATGAGTTAACTTGAATATTATGATCTGCAAAAGAAGCCTTACTTACAGGAGCTATTGGTTAGGCTTTCAGAAAAGGCCTCAATAGATCTTTCGATCTTTTGGATCTTTAATATTATCTTTGTACATTATTTGAAATGTTAAAAAATATAATGCATCCATAAAATTGTTTTATGGAGAGACATGCTATAACTTTAGTTAATAAAAATAATTTAAGAAAGATTTTCTTTAATGAATGACAGCATTCTTAAACAGATGAAAAGTGCCAAATATTACTGTGTAAGAATGCTTGACTCATTTTGACTAACGCTAATCTAATGTGTGCACTAAATATATAAATTACACATTTTCAAAGACTTAAATGATTAGTTGCGTATCATTGCTGACACATCAACTTAACAGAGTTCACGAGATAAAGAAAAGGCTGAGAGGAAACGAAAAGCAGAGATTGCTAGATTGCGAAGAGAGAAGATCATGGCACAGATGTCTGAGATGCAGCGGCATTTCATTGATGAGAACAAAGAACTCTTCCAGCAAACCATAGATGAACTGGAAACTTCTACCTCCAGAGTACACGATCATAGGTAAGATGAAAATGTCAATAAACTTTGGCAACCTAAACATTATTAATTTTTCAACATGAAAACTTCATTTTATTCTTTTGCAGTAGCATTTCCATTAGTATTCATATTTCTAATTTCCTGACCGTTCGACTTATGTCTCCTTGTGTCTTCACAGAATTGTTCCAATTCAATTGTATATGTTACTCACAGAAAGGGGAATGCAATGTTGAATAATTCTCTCATTAGGAGATTCACTCTGTTTTGAACGTTAGAATAAAATGAAATTTTTTGATATAAATTAAGTAATAAATTTACCCCCTCCTCCAACCAAGCACCCAGTACAGCAGACAAATGCAGCAGAGAGAGAAGAGAATTGGCACTTGGTTTCTTCTCCCTCACCCCAGCTTTTCTCTTGCTGTTAAAATGAACATCCCACAAGAAAAACTTCACTTGTCTGGTGCTCCATCTGCTAAAAGAAAAAGTTTCAGCTTTACTAATTGTTCTTTCATTGTAACAGTGATACATATTTTTAACATTTGGCCCTCAACCTCCACATCCAGAGTTGAGGATTGCTTACTATGATGTAAAAATAATAATATAAGTACAAGAAACTGACCCAAATTATTTGAGTAAAGTACAGCAAATAAAAGTAGTCCACAATTGGGACTAGAGTTTTGGTTGTTAAGTGAAGTAGTTGTTAAGTGAGATGGCCATGTGACCACTTTGCTCAGCGACCACAATCTCAGCACTCCCCATTTCAGTTGTTAAGCAATCTCACACGAACTAAATCCCTCTCCATTCCTGAAGAGCTAAAGGAAGTGAGGGATTTTGAACTCCGTGCTGATAGTAGGCAGGTAGCTTAAAATCCTGCCTCTTCGAGGCCCTCCTGCTGCTGAGGTTCAAGTAGGCATGGAAATTCTGGATTCCCAAGCCCACTTGGATTTCCAAGCAAGCATGGAGCTCAAAATCCCTCTCTGCCTGCCTCTGTGAAGCTCTCCACACAGGTGGCAAGAAAAGGATGCCAAGATCCATGGCTGCCAGAATTCAAGTATGCATGGAGCTAAAAATCCCTCTCTCCATGCAGACGTGGGGTAAGGAGGACCCTAAATTCTGCTTGCATTTTGGGAGCAGAGATCCAGGCTTGTATGGAGCATGGACCCAAACACCCACGTCAGATGACCCAGGTCATGTATGAGCAACATTTTGTAACAGATGTGCTTACATGCTGTAAAGCATCCTAACAGAATAACAGAGTTGGAAGGGACTTTGGGGAGGGAGGGTTTCTAGTCTTCCAGTCCAAACCATTGTAATTTTGAATGCTCATTAAGTAAGGATTACTTATACTAGACGCAATTAATAAGGCTGAGAGAATTTTTTCTTTGGCATTTAATTGACAGTAATTTGAGCTGAATTCTAAAATGGCTATTTCTATATTATTTCCATCTTTTTTAAAAAAAGTTAATATACGCTTTCTAGTTTGTACTTTAAAAACCAGTTGATACTAAAGGAATCTATACTTAAGACATAAGCAGTAGGCTTTTCTGGAAAGTCTTCAGACACTGAAGATTCATCTTGTATGTACTTCTTGCAGGTTTCTGCTGTAGGTATCAGTGAGGATCATTTACAAAAGATTTGTTTTATTTAATTGTTATATCAGAGTATTGTTATGGATTGTTGGTTATTGGTTGTTTCAATATTATGTTATCATGAATGATTTATATTTTATCTCACATTTTATATGTTCATGTAATTCCATGGGAGTTCTGGTTGCTTGCTTTTTTGAAATTTGCCATGAGTCTATGTGGTTATAGTGTCTTACAAATAAATAATTAACATTATGCTTGGCGGTAGGTTGGGATAGCTATGTATCTCTCACTGTAGGAAGAACAATGGCAATACTCAGAGAATTTACAATCTCTGTTGCTCACGTCTGAAATGTAATTCAGGACTGTTTCTGTACTGGTGATGGACACAATGGATTACATTTAAAGCCTTTGCCCTTGTTACTAATTTTAGCAGTCAGAATAATTTTATCATATTTTAGTAAATGTATATGTTTTTATATCACTAGAATTTTGGTAAATATTTATATTTAATAGTTTTCTTCAGCTTCCAGAGGGTTCCAAAATATTACTCTACTAATAACTCAAAGGAGAATTTAATCTAAATAAGTTTCCATATCTCTGTATGCTCCGAAAATAGTTTGAAATTGTTATAAAAACTGTAGCACACTTATTGCTTCACATATGTTGCTTTTATTAAGGCACACTATAGAACATTTCTGGAAAAGAAAATATAGCATAAGATGAGTTGGATAAAAATATGTGCATTCAATTATACATTACTTCAGTAAATATTCCAACTAAATGCTTACTAATATCTTTTCATTCTAGTCCTTCAGTTTCAGACTCCAGGCTTATTGCCTTGGGTCCCGAGCAGACTAAAGTATGTGAACAAAGACAGATAGTCACTTGTATCTTATGCCAAGAAGAACAGGAGGTCAAAATGGATAATAGAGCAATGGTGCTGGCAGCATTTGTTCAGAGATCAACAGTCTTATCCAAAAATAGGAATAAAGTGATTTCAGATCCTGGTGAGTAGTTTATATACTATTTTGAAGGACCATATAACATTCAAACACATAATATTCCATTCTGAATTATACAGGAAGCTTTTATTCATTATATTATAAAACAGTGTTTCTCAACTTTGGCAATTTTAAGAAGTGTGGATGGCATGCTAGTTGGGAAAATCTGGGAGTTGAAGTCCACACATCTTAAAGTTGCAAATGTTGAGAAACTCTGCTATAAAATAATAATTAAGTCAGCCCATTCACAAATATCCTAATGCTAGCTTAGTGTACTGGCCTTAGATTATTAGGATTTAAATAGTTATATAATTTGCAAAACTTTTCATTTATGTGCATGTATAAGGAATGTGAACAATCTTTGTGAATATTATCTGCTATTTTTCATATACAGAAAAGTATGATCCATTATTTATGCATCCAGACCTGTCATGTGGAACACACACTGGTAGTTGTGGACATATTATGCATGCACATTGCTGGCAAAGGTAATTTTAAAAAAAATATTAACAGATGTTAAGTATGCTGTGTCAAAGCAGCTAAGATACATTTTTCCCCCACTGTCTACTATGCTTGGCCAGTCATGTAATGTATGTTGCTGTATTATTGCCAAGAAAATTGTTTTATTCTTGCTCAGACTTTCACTATGTACTACATGCTTGATGAAACTTAGCCCTCTTGGCTTTTTTTTTTTTTTTTTACACATTTGAGGTGCAAGAATGTTAGTGAGAAAGCAAATATAAAAACATTTCTTTCCTGAATTATCTGTTTAGGACTTACTGCTTAAGACAATGTCATACTTAACTCCATTTGTATTTTCTGATGGCAAGTAAAATTGCAGCTTGTTTCTTAAAATTAATACTCGCTTTTCGAGTAGACATTCTTGTTTTGTCAAACCAGTAGAACAACAAAAAATGCTTTAGATGTTAAATGAAATTAGAAGAAAGTTATTCAAAAAATAAACAAGCATTATAATAATTTTCTTTACAATAAATCAACTATTTTCTTATTAACCTTTCAAATTAGATAAACTACTGTTCAGTGCAGAAATTTTGCAACTGGCCATGATATGTTTCAAGTCTGGGCTGAATTTGAGATAGGGTTAGGAGTTCCAGGGCTGCTTACAACACGGGTGATCATCATGAGTGATGATGTTATGATATAATAGATGAAGAATGACAGAAAGTTTAGTTCTCTTTTGTGATGGACAAAGACCAAAAAGTTGCATTAAACCTTACACAGGTTTAAGATTCAATTTTGCCTATTATCTAACCTTTTTTTAAAAAAAACTGGAAAAAATAATATGATTTTTGGAAGGTTAGACAAGTTTTAAACTGAAGCTACCCATTTTGTCTCTTAAATTGCCTTTCCAGAAAAAAACCTAAGGCCAATATTTTTTGTATTGGCCATTTAAGGGATAGTTTGGGTCAGAAGGAGAACTGAGAAAATATTTACAGACCCTCACATAATAACAATAATAGAGTTGGAAGGGTCCTTTGAGGTCTTCTAGTCCAACCCCCTGCTCAGGCAGGACACTCTATATCATTTCAGACAAATAGTTGTCCAGTCTCTTCTTAAAAGCTTTCAGTGTTGGAGCATTCACAACTTCTGGAGGTAGGTTGTTCTACTGATTAATTGTTCTAACTGTCAGGAAATTTCTCCTTAGTTCTAGGTTGCTTCTCTCCTTGATTAGTTTCCATCCATTGCTTCTTGTTCTGCCTTCAGGAGCATTGGAGAATAGCTTGACTCCCTCTTCTTTATGGCAGCCCCTGAGATATTGAAACTCTGCTATCATGTCCCCCCTTGTCCTTCTCTTCATTAAACTAGACATACCCAATTCCAGCAACCATTCCTTATATGTTTTAGCCTCCAGTCCTCTGATCATCCTGGACATAATCTGTTTCAATTCCTCCCCTTGGGATGCCGTTATAGGGCATTGCATGCCAAAACAACTAGACACAGGGACATTTTTTTTCCCTCATGCCATGACTGCTGAACATCTAATTCCCACAATACTGCCTTATGTCTAAGTATATTTACCCATGTGGTACGGCTGTCGTAACATTATTATACTTCTCATCTTCTTTACTACCTCCTCTTAACTGGTATCATTATTATGATTATTATTACTCTTTTGTTTTGCATGTACACTGAGAGCTTCCACACTGGAGACAAATTCCTTGCATGCCTAATCACATTTGGCCAAATAAAGTACTCTAATTCTAATAAAGTGTTCTAGTATCCAACAACTATTTTAGAACTAGTATTATAATATTATGCTTAAGTTATGTTGCTTTCCAAAGGTATTTTGATGCCGTGCAAGCAAAAGAACAAAGACGACAACAAAGATTACGAGTGCATACAAGTTACGATGTAGAAAATGGTGAATTCCTTTGTCCTCTCTGTGAATGCTTAAGCAATACTGTCATTCCTCTTCTTCCTCCTCCAAGGACTTTATTTAGCAGGTTAGTAATTCCATGAAATAACTTGTTTGTTAATTAATAATTATTTATGTACAGGTAGGCCTTGACTTATAATCAGGAACTTAGCAACCATTCAGAGTTACAATGGGCCCCCAAAATTATGCAATCTGTATTTGAAGTTCTGATGGTCACACACACACACACACAGAGAGAGAGAGAGAGAGAGAGAGAGAGAGAGAGAGAGAGAGAGAGTGAGTGTCATGTGATTGCATTTTGCATGCTGTGCATCCAGCCTGCATTTATGGTTGTTTATAGCATCCTGCAGTCACGCGACCATGATTATGATGTTTTTTGCTGGAAACTGGAATCTACTTCTATTTCTGGCAAAAGGCACCCATTGCAGACAATGGGTTTGCTTAATGACTTCCACATTCGCTTAATGACCATTGCAGAAAAAGTCGTAAAATCACATGCAGGCATTTGATGACCTGCTTAATAACTGGCATGACTTACAATTGTAATTCTGGGCCAATTACAATCCTAAGTTGAGAACTATTTGTATATGATAGATGTGGATGGTAGAGTGCTTCAGTTTGGCAAGATTTTGTTTATACATGTGGAAACAGTAAAGAACTCAGTTTGAAAGAATCACCATGCGTCATTCTTGGGTTTGGGGCTTGCATATGGTTACTGTTTGCCTTCCCTAGAAAGTCAATGGGGAAGTTGTCAGGGAAGTCACAAGTCACTGGGGTAAGTCACTCCTACCTACACACCCAATCCCAAGCCCCTTTGCAGTTGCTCCCCCAGTATATCCTTCTGACCCTTGCCACACCTCCCTGGCACCCTCATATGCACCCTTCCTGACTTGTACTGTGTTTCTTGAACACACTCTTTTACTCATCCTGCAACCATCCCGACTTGTGCTGCGCCTTTCATGCATTTTCACAAACCTTCTTGACTCATGCCAACCATTCCTTTCCTCCCCACACAATCCCTCCTTCTCGTCTCCCACCTGATAACAGCCATTTACCTGGCTTTGGTTGTTGGAAGCCACCTGGAAGTTTTCTCACCTATTTATCGGTGAGCAGCAATGGGACTGCAGAGATTGCAGTTGCTAATCGCTTATCAATGGAAATTCCATTCCCAATTGCTATTGAAAGTCAAGGATTATTTATAAAAAGAGTTTGTAGGTACTGTTTTAATATTTAAGTAATATTTTACATTTGTTCGTTTTTGATAGATTAGACTTTGCAAAAGAACAAAATCTAGTTCAGTGGATAAGAAGATTGTCTCAGCAAATCAAAGCCTTGGTTATGCTTCGAGATCAGGAAAGTGCCAGTAAGTGTAAATTTTTCATTTATACTGCCATGTATTTCTTGAAAGACGCTGACTACACTAATGTCTTTTTGTTTCTTTTCTTTTGAGAAGGCGTTTTTCCTTAGTATAGATACTAATTCTGACCTTCAGGACAGAATTAAAGTGCTACTTCATCCTATCTAAAGATTTCAGGCATTATGGATAGTAATAATAATTTATTGTTAAAATAATATATTGTTGTTATTTTTAGATAATCTTCCTTGTAATAACTCAGAAAAAATGGATGAAGCACATCTACCTGAAGGATTTAGGCCAGAGGTTCAACCAAAGTATGTATTGGTTGCATTGATTATCAGTTCTAATGTATATAATATAAGTAGAAGAATTTATGACATTAGCTTTTCAGGTAATTTTTTACATATTTGTATTCATATTTATCCATATAGTATTCATCTTATGGAGAGAAACAGATATACTGAAGCTACTTGACTCCCTTTCTTTCATTCTGGGATAAAGAGTTGTGTCAGTCTCAATCTAGTTATTATGTTTATGCCATTCAGAAGTTGGCTCCTTTATTTAGTATTTGCTTTATTGTAACAACATAAGTTAGTGGCTAGTTTCAATGTTCAAAATCTAATCACAGAATGCCCAGCCCACAGCATTCAGGGGTAATTAGCATTCAGGGGTTGCTAAAAAGAAGAGGGAGTCAAGCTATTCCCCAAAGCACCTGAAGGCAAGACAAGAAGCAATGGATGGAAACTAATCAAGGAGAGAAGCAATCTTGAACTAAGGAGAAATTTCTGACACTTAGAACAATTAATCAGTGGAACAACCTGCTTCCAGAAGTTGTGAATGCTCCAACACTGGAAGTTTAAAGAAGAGATTGGACAACCATTTGTCTGAAATAGTATAGGGCAGGGGTGTCAAACTCGCAAAGTCATGTGACGTATCACGACTTTATTGCCATTGCCGGCAATGGGGTGGGTACAGTTTCGCTATGATGCATTCAGCCCTGGGGCCAGCAGTTTGACACCCTTGGTATAGGGTTTCTTGCTTGAGCAGGGGGTTGGGCTAGAAGACCTCCAAGGTCCCTTCCAACTGTGTTATTCTATTCTATTCTAATTAGAATATCCTGTGATGTTTTTTTAGGTATCTTAAAAAAAGAGTTGCCAACGGTGATTATGTTAACCATGGGTTGGATCCAATTATTCATTTTGCTGGCTGATATTCTACCAGCAGAAAAGATTCTTAATATTTATACAAACTCCCAACTTTGCTCTGAGTATTGGGAAATTCCCAAATTCTGGTTACGATATATTTGTAACCAAAAAGCATTTTGGAATAAATGTATATTCATAGGCTTCTACAAAAGTATTTTTGGTCATATTGCTTTTTAAAATATAACCAAGATTACTTGAAATAATGATATTAAATTAGTTCTCTGATATCTGTAAATATGTCACCAAACCAGTAGAATATATATTCCCCCTTTCTAATATCAAAAGCCATTATATATAAATGAGAGTGTCAAATGGAAGCATTACCATGGATGGGATCAATGAAATAGTAATGACAAGGCCATTAATGTTAAACATTTCTCCATTTAGTCACTGATGGTTGCCACTAAAAATCAGGTTAGCTGTTGGTGACTATATGGGCAAATGTTTGCTATGTTGGCCTGCCACTGTCTCTTCTGTCTCTTTAATTTCATCCATACACCTTATTCTTTACCTTACCTTTCTTTTACTTCCCTCTCAACCTTGCTTGTCTGACACAGGATGAGGTGCCACGACACTGGTATAATCAGTTTTTCTAAGCTATCATCCATGTTCATCATATGCTTAACATATGTCAATTTTTGCTTGCTGATCATTATCTTACAGGAGCCTTCAATTTTATTTGGTTTGGGACTGATTCACTGGTTGTTCTTGCAATATTCTCAGAAACAGTAAAAGGGTGTGTCAGCCACCCCAATGAAAGTTTTATTCCTTGCTATTTGGGGCAGGCAAAGTTTAGCTTCTAAATATCATGTCATAACATTTGTGGGTAATGGTGTCTATTTTCAATTAAGGAATCCATATTCTGAAAGCATTAAGGAAATGCTGAAAACATTTGGCACTGCAACATATAAAGTTGGCCTGAAAGTTCACCCCAATGAAGAGGATCCACGTGTACCTATAATGTGCTGGGGCAGTTGTGCATTTACAATCCAAGCAATAGGTAATATTTATTCAATAAAATGTTGACAATCACTGGAGAATGATCAAGTTTAGATTCTGTGTTCTTCTCATTTAATTATGGTTTTTATATTCTACAGAACAAATTTTAGCTGATGAAGAAAAACCATTATTTGGTCAATTGTCTTGTAGACAGGTAAGAGTAACAACTACCATAGCCTAAATGACTGAGGGATAGGTATATATGGTAAGGTTATAATACTTATTATGATTCTACTATAATGTTAGAAAATAGCATTGTATAACATAAACAGTAAGTTGTGGTGAATACTGTGACATTGTTTTCTTTTACCAAAGGCCCCTGTATATTAATTACTCTAGAATTTCAATATGGCCAATAATAATAAATATATGTATGTATGTATTACGTAGGTAAGTATGTATTTATCCATCCATCCATCCCTTATTATTTTACAAATAACTCAAGGTGAACATATCCAACACACCTTTCTCCTTTTATTTTCCCCACAAGAACAACTTGGTGAGGTGGGCTAAGAGTGTGAGTGGCCCAAGGTTGCCAGCCGGGTTTCATGGCTAAGGCAGGACCAGAACTCACAATTTCCTGCTTTCTAGCCTAGGCCTTCTGGTTCTTTTAATTATTAATAATTAAGTTACTAATTATTAACAATCCACAAATTTTAAAGTTCATTATAACAGTACAAAGGAATGAATATGGCTTTTTGTGAATGATTGTTATTATGTTCTATTTAGGATGACTGTCTTACTTCATTAACACGATTTGCGGCTGCACAGTGGACAGTTTCTTCACTATTAGCAGTACAGGGTCATTTTTGTATGCTTTTATCATGTAAGTTCAACATTATGATGATTTATTTAATTTCAGATAAAGACAGACTTTTAGTACATGAAACAGTTTGAATAGTCTTAAATTTTATGTGAGACATCAACTGAAACTTTTGTACAGATTGTTGTTGACAGAAGTTTTGTGTTCATTAAGAGTACGTTTCCATATGAGTTGTGTCATTTATTAACATGGAATACAATGAACAGGATATATATGGAACTCTGACTGTGGGTTATGCTCTGGATAGAGTCTTCAATTTGGGGCAAAATGTGCTTTAAATAATGTGTTTTACTAAAACACAACTATGATTGTTGGTAATAAGAGTAACTCTACTTGCCCTAAAAGAGATGTGAGTTTTAAAAGTTATCCTTCCCAAGCATAACAAAAGACATAAAATGTTGGTTTGCCCTGTGTACAGGAGTCCTTGACTTACAACCACAATAGAGCCCAAAAATTATGTTGCTAAGCAAGACAGTTGTTAAGTGAAGTTTGCCCCATTTTATGACTTTTCTTGCCACAGTTGTAAAGTGAATCACTGCAGTTTTGAAGTTAGTAACACAGTTGTTGAGCGAATCTGGCTTCCCCGTTGACTTGGCTTCTCAGAAGGTTGCTTAATTTGATCACATGACCCCAGGACACTGCAACCGGTTGCCAAGCCTCTGAATTTTGACCATGTGACCTATGCTGTAAGAGAGAGATGAAACCTATGGAATAGCCAGCCTCTCTGATCACTTTATGAGACCCTTCATCAGTTAAGAAGCTGATTCTCCAAAGTGGCTAAGGGCAGGACAAGAAGCAATGGATGGAAACTAATCAAGGAGAGAAGTAACCTAGAACAAAGGAGAAATTTCCTGACAGTTAGAACAATTAATCAGTGGAATAACCTGCCTCCAGAAGCTGTGAATGCTCCAACACTGGAAGTTTTTAAGAAGAGATTGGACAATTATTTGTCTGAAATGGTATAGGGTCTCCTGCCTGGGCAGGGGGTTGGACTAGAAGACCTTCAAGGTCCCTTCCAACTCTTATTCTGATCTGTCCTATTCTGATGAATGTGTGAATCACCGACACAATGAAGTACATGAAGCTTTTCAAGTGGTTATCTATGAATTTACATAATCAATCTTCCTTATCCAACTTGCCTCAATAGGAGATTAATTTTCTTTTGAATTAATTGTATCAGTTTTAGACACTAAACAATTTCAATTCATGTCTGATCAAGTGGCATGGTTGGAGATACACCTCCCAAACAATTTAAAGGTTTTAGAAGGTTCCAAATGAGAAACTGCAGTTCTGTGCAGATGATCACTCACAAATCTTGGAAAAGGTGCAGTTCTTGTAAGGAACGCTTGACAGGTACCGCAGCGTGTTCATGCCAGATCGAAAGCATACTTATCTATTGCACATATTTTCCCACTACTATATCAGTAACAGTTTTCTAGTATCTTCAGTGGAAGTTTTTCCTAGTTTAGCTAGCTGACAGTTTTTGAGTTGGAAGTGATAAGACTCCAAAATTGAGAATGAAAATAATGGATATAATTATTTTCTATTTCTATGTTGTGGGCTTTTATCCTGTAAACCAGTTATTTTGCAACTCGCATTTTAAAAATATATCAGATATATTCTGAAACGTATGAAATTTCAAGATCTAGATAAATGACCTAATTGATTATTTGGCTTCTGTTGTTTTGCAAGTACACCGAGTGTTTCTGTACCAAATTCCTTGTATATTTAACCACGCTTTGCCAAGTAAAGTATTAACTTTTTTTATATTTTAAACATCCAGCACTGGTGCCTTATGAAAAAAGTGGAAATCTTCCATGCATTCTTGATATCGACATGTTTCATTTATTGGTAAGTGATTAAAAATCCCAATAGCATTGCTGTAGAAAATATGTTTAACAAGATGTTTTGTTAAATATAAATTGGTTTAGCAAGTTATTTTATTAAGCAAATAGCTCAGAAAAATATTTCAAGGTAGATCACCATTTGTATATGGTCCAGAACTTCTGGAGTGTCAAATTTCCTTTTTTGTAGCAGCAGTAGTAGCAATTCAAAACTGTTACCATTATGCTTAATGCCAAGGAGGTTTCGTCACTTACCATTTTTCCTTTTATCTGCAGGTATGCTTGGTATTCTCTTTCCCTGCTGTACATTGTCAGGACTTTTCAGGAGTCAGTCTTGGTACAGGAGACATTCATATCTTCCACCTTGTGACTATGGCACATATTGTGCAAATAATACTTACCTCATCCACAGGTACGGTATACTGTCAAGGCTATGCTGAATTTTGTGTAGGAAAATTAGGATTACAATGACATTAATGGGAAATGTACATGGAAGTCTGGCTTAGGTTTTATTTTAGAGCAACTGAATATTTTATTTTTATAATATTTTATTAGTTTTATAATTTTACAATTAAGTATTTAAAAAGCAACGTGGTGGCTGGGTTAATCAATAGTTCAATAAAATATATAAATCTTTAGTACAAATCTCAAGTTACAACATCAGATATTTCCTCTCTTTTCCCCTTAATATCTACTATCTCATATTAGGCTAATACAGTTCTTATTATTATCAACTAAGTAAAAACATCATTATTATATTTATCAATAATTTTTAGCTTATACATATCTTAATTATGTTTACATTCAATCCCTATATACAATCAATGTCTTGTTATTGCTTTTTTCCCCAAGCTTTAATTTCCCATCAATATTCAAATTAACATTTGATATTTATAATTTCCAAGCATTAGGTAACCAAAGTTTCCCTTATCTCAACTTCTTCTTTTTTCCCTTTTCGTAACAAAATCTAGTATTCTAAATACACATCTTATCTATTTGAGTATAGTCTTGTTCTGTTTTCTAAAAGTTATTTATTTTCCACCATATTAAACCACTTAATTAATAATACAGCATCCCCTTCAATAAATCAAAACCATTATATGTATTGTCTGGTTAACCAATAAATCAATAATATTCATAATTTTTTTCATTTGGGTCTAATTTTTAAAAATTCAAATACTCCCTCTCTTTTTCTGATAATATCTTTTATCTCATATTAAGCAAACATAATTCTTATTTTCAACTGAATTTCAAATATTTTAAATTAGGTGACCAAAGTTCCCCTTATCTCAACTTTTCTCTTTTTCCCTGTTCATACCAAAGTCTATTAATCTTGTTACACATCTTACCTATTCAATTATAATGATACTTTACTTTCTATTTTCCACCATATTCAGCCCTCTAATTAGTAATATGAAATCCCCTCTAATAACTCAAAACCCTAATTTTCTTCAGCCTTACTCTGGCTTTTTTCCTTTGCCATCCAGCCTTCCATGTCAGTGCTTTTAAATCATCAAATAGTTCTCCCTCTATTATTATATATATTTCATTTGAAATAAGAAAGATCATTTAGTTGCAGTTTTCTTGGAAGAACTAGCCCATTTGTATTCATTAGATTGCCTCTCTATTACTCCAATTTCCCACAATTGTCCTGATAGGTTTATCTTACAATCAATTTGTTCTTCTTCCTTCTCCTCAAATTTCTTCTGATTTATATAGAAAATCTTTTCCATTTTCAGTGTTGTCATTCCCTTTTCTGAATTTTCCATTGGCTGGATTTGTTGGTCAATTAAGTCCTCTGTCTTAGTGTTTGGTTGTTCCACTTCTTCTGTTATTTTCTGCATTGTTAGTTCTTTGGTTGTAGTCAAGATCTGGGTTTGTATATCTAAGCTGGCATCTTGTCCTTTATGTTGCATCTTATTTTGTCACAAACTGAGAGAATGATTTCGTGTATTGATTTCAACATGGAAAGGATTTTTTTCTTGATCTTCATCCATATTCTCTTAATAGTGTATTAAGTTGAAGACTTTAGAATCAGACGCTTAAAAAATAGTTTTTTATAACAAGGCATGGGACATCTAATTCACTATAGGTGGTCTTTATAGTGGAAGTTGTTTGTCAAGTAAGAATTTATAATCCAAGATATTCCATTATCTTGTGTAATAACAGATGCTTCTCATGTAAAGAAATAGGAAAGCAATTCCCCACGTATAGCTCTAAAAGTCAGTAATGGTTTACATTCATAGTTCAAGCAGGCCAAATATGTCACCCAGAAATTCTCTTTACAGCTGAGTTTTTCACAGGTGGTATCTGTCAAGGTCAGAAAGGTTTTTTTTTTTTAGAGTCTGGGCTTCAAACCAAGTCTTTTTTAGGCAATAACAAGTTGTAATACCATACTTCGCCACAAGATGTGGCATTTAAAGCTTTTTAAATCCAAAGTTCTTATGATAGTTTTTCAAGTTTATTTCTTTTGTTTTAAATAAAAACAAATATCTCCTGTAAGAATAGGAAAACTTTTAGTCTCCAAGTTTTAAAAGTATATAGATCCAATTAGATTAAAATTGTTCTTATATATGCTTTGATTCCCCTGGGTAGTTAGTCACCGCTTTTCTTGGAGGGTAAGGTAGAAATTCCCTTCCCTCTCTCCTCATGGGGGAAAAATACTTTGGCAGCTTTTTCAGAAAAAAATACTTAAAGTCTAAAAGAGAAGATCAGATCTCACCCAGTTTCATCGTGTTGCTATAAAGGTGCTTGATGTGATTTTGACGTTGGCTGTCAGCAGCTTAGTGACGAGCCATATTGCTATGGCTGGTCTTTCCCCCGCCGGTTTGGAGGGCTGCCCCGGATCAAGTGGAAGGGCTGCCACCCTCCCGCGATCAAGCGGGAGTCCCCTCCTTGCTCGTCGCCCCTACATGATGACTTTCGACCCTTTCTAGGGTCCCCCAGCGGGACAAATTCGGACACGGAAAATGGAACTCGCTTTCCTGTGTCCACAGTAGCCGCGATGGCAAACCGGAAGTTAGCAACTGAATATTTTTGAACAAAGAAAATATTGATCATTGCAATGCAATGGTATATGTGTATTTGAAAATTGAGGGTTGAGGTTTACTTTTCTTTTTATTATTTGTATATTTTCATCCCATATTTCACTGTTGTAAAATATCTACAATTGTTTACAAATGGAAATGGTTGTTATATAAATTATTTAAATTCTAAATTTAAAATGTTTATAAACTATAAATAATACTTTGTAATGTAGCATTCTGTTTTCAAAGTAGTTGAGCAAATGTACTTGAATCAAAAGTAAATTCGAATGAAGGGCTTTTTGAGTGTTACTGGAGAAACCTACTGTCAATTTAATGGGCAAGGTAAACTATATAAGGAAAGCAATGAATAGGAGTTGGCAGAAGCTGCAGTCATTGTGTATTGAAATCACACTGTATGAAATTGGATAGATATAAATATATTCTATCAAGTTTCATTGATTTTTGAAATTGTACTGATAAAATTGGTTTAGAATAGGGGTAGGTAAACTATTTGACTTTTGAATGTTCATTTCAACCTTTCTAAAAAATTTCCAATGCTTTTCTGATTATTTGAGGAGTTTGAACTTAAAACATTCTGTTTCAAGTTCAAAGTAGAGAGGTTTTGAGCTTAGTTAGAATAGTTCTATCAAAATGTAGCAGTTTGTACATTGTACATTTTGTGTTTGCTTTTTCAGAAGAAAATGGCATGGACCAAGGAAACTCTACTGTTGAAGAAGCTGCTGTTCTTGCTTTGCATAAGCATATTGGCCAGTGTGTGGGCAGGTAAAACAGATTGCTTGAATCCTAGTTTTTTCTATGTATTGTTTTCTTTCCCTTATCTTGTGATTCTTAGATTATCTTAAAGAATGCAAGAAGATTCTTACAGATTAGCAATGTTGCAGGTATTCTAGTTCTAGGTTATTTGGACTTTAAAGAAAGCTATTTGAACATATTTGATATTACTGGAAGGCAGTGTTGAACAACCATGCTTTAAATTTGGTTCTACAAATTTAGTTGACCAAATGGCTGATATATTCTGAAGCAATCAGTGTTTCCAAGTGTCTTTAAAAATTAAATTAAGCATTACCAAAGTATTTATGTGGTAGGTATTCATTACAATATGCAAAATTAGCATTTTTATCCAAATAAAAATGCTAATTTTGCATATTATAATGAATCAGCTGCCTATTGTTTTCAGTGTAACAATAACATTGCTCTGCTATGGAATTATAAAAGGAGATTAGGAGTTAATACCTTTATTTTAGAACTAGTCAAATGGAAACATGGCTAGCAGGCCTCGAAAATTGTTATCTGATTGTTTAGATTCTCAATCTTTCCCATTGCCAATAATTTTTAATTCAAGTTTTGTATGGAAAGAAGAAGCCAAAGCGAGAAATATTTCTTCTTATTTTTCTCCCTTTACATTAATGCCTATCAGTGCTTTTTTTCTTTAAAAAAAAAAAAGTGCCAGAACTGACACACATCATACAACCTGCCTTGCCTACCCTACAAGGTTCCATCCAAAAAAAGTGCCGGAACTCCGTTCTGGGCATTCTATGAGAAAAAAAGCCCTGATGCCTATGATTCTAAACTAATCAAATAAAGCAGAGGGACAAGATTATGCTGCCTGTGTCCCTATCTTTATTTGTTGTTAAAGTAGAATCACTAGCTCACATTCTAGGTATTCATGTACAAATTATAAGAAACCCAGCCTACTTACCCATTTTATTTTGGAAAATAAATTTACCTATATAAATTTATTTCAGATAATGTTTTTTCTATTCAGTTACCTGAATGGTTGAATAAAGATTCAGCAGGTGGCAGTACCTAGTCAAATTTGACTGATCTTAAAAAAAAATATTAGGTTTGAACTTAATTAGTATAGAACAGAATACTAACAAATTGAATCTTCCTTAGTTCACAGATGCATTTGTGTATCAATAATAATTATTTAGATTTATTCAAGCATTCAACTGAGATGATATTTTGGGGAAGAAAGAAAACTAGTTCTTTAGAAGATTAACTTTAGAAGATAACAAATGATTGTCTCCTTATTGTTGGAGGGATGTGATGCACAATGTTTTCTCAAAAAATATGGGAACTCAATGTCCATATATGATAAGTATTAAGATTTCTCATAGTTATTGTGATGCTTTATCACAGGGATGTCAAACTTGCAACGTAACGTGATGTGTCATGATGTATTGGGACTTTTTTTCATTGCTGGCAATGGAGTGGTGCGGTTTCGGCATGACACATGTAGCCTGCGGGCCGGAAGTTTGACACCCCTGCTTTATCATGTTATTTATCCTTGTTTAATACCATACCTTGATACAGAGGTATAATTCAGGTGGTCCTTAGAAGTCATGAAGTACCACTTTGTTAACCTGGCTACCTTGATTAAAAAGCTTAGTCAGAAGCTTCTATTTGCAGTTCTGCATCAAAGAACCATTTTCATCCATATGCTTTCTTTTAATCATGATTGCATATGATAACAATACTCCACTTTCAGCTTTCTGCAGTTCTATTGTCATATAAATGATTTCATGTATATATACGTTTCTTACCCATGTAAGGTTTTGACTTTGTAGTTATAAGACAACAAAGTAGTTTTTAAAAACAGGCTCAACAAAATTTCCCTTCCAGCTGCTAGAGTCAAATCTAGATTAAATGCATAATTTTTAAACCTGAAATTTACTTTGGTGAAAAGCAAAATGATTTTATTTCTAGTGCCTTGAAAGAAATTTCTTCTGGATGGCACCTATGGAAAAATATAAAAACTGGGATCATGCCTTTTCTGAGGTGCTCTGCTATGTTCTTCCACTATTTAAATGGAGTTCCCATACCACCAGAATTGAAAGGTAATTTTTAGTTGGCTATATTTGTTTGACTCCTAATAATGCTTTCTGAATAGAATAGCTTCAAACTACTCAGATGAAGAAATGCAAATTTCCAATTGCTCTTCCCAATGTCCAGCCTTCTGAAACTGATTTTCAGGTATACAGGTATCTAGTCAGGATAAAAAAAACATTGAAACGTGTAATTCACTTGAAAAGTGTCATGGACATAAAGTCCTGCTTTGGACCACTGATCTATTCTCAGGCCAACTCACCTCACAGGATTGTTATTGTGGGGAAAATAGGAGGAGGAAAGAGTATGTTTGTCATGATATTTATAAAAATAATCAAAGTGGGATAAAAAATAAATAGAATACAAATGATGTGAGTGTGAATACATTTCCTACCTTTCAATTTATCAAGGAACTAGGGGAACTAAAGTAGACTATATGTTTACACTATTATTTCTTTGTTGTGATTTATGCATATAATTATTGTGTGTTATTTAGCATACAACAATAGAATTCTTTGCAAATATAGCAATATTAATTGTAGCTAATTATAAATATACTTTTTTATGTACAGCCAATGGGTCAAACCAGTTTGAATACTTATGTAGCTATCTCTCCTTGCCAAGCAACCTAATTTGCCTTTTTCAAGAGAACAGCAAAATTACAAATACATTAATAGAAAGGTAGGAACTATATGTTATCCATTTAAATATACAAATATCTATTTAAAAATACAAATCTTGCATGGTGTTGATGAAGTAGACTATAAGAGTGAAAACCAAGCAATATCAGTGCAATTATCAGGGGGGGGGGAATTAACGATAAAAAATTCTTTTGAAATGATATGCTGGGTCAGAAATGTTAGTATATTCTTTCCGATACTTGACAGGCATTACAAGCTTTCTCATCATCACTATTTATCATTTCGTAATTTGGAGAGGATCTGGATGGTGACAAAGAATATAACTTTATGGTTATACAAATTGAATAAATAAATAAATGATTCTCCTATATTATTTTCACTAAAATAAAATAAATTCCCTTTTTAAGAATATTTGCATTATACTGGATTATATTCATAATTGCCTACCTTTATGCATATGTTATAGATTAAGGAAATAAAAGTATATGATTCTTCAGTTATTTCGGAGGAAATTAAAAATATTTTTTTCCACCTTTTTTTAAAGCTGGTGTAATAACAGTGAAGTAAAAAGATGCCTGCAAGGTCAGCAACAAGCCATATGGTGAGGATTTCTTGACTACTGAAGTTTCAGTGACAATTGAAAAATAGGAACATAAAGCTTGTAGTTTATTGAAACTAAGCGGTACAGGTAATCCTTGATTTACAACAGTTCATTTAGTGACTCTTCAAAGTTACAACAGCACTGAAAAAAGTGACTTATGACCACTTTTCACACTTATGACTATTTCAGTATCCCAATGGTCATGTGATCAAAATTCAGACTCTTAGCAACTGACTCATATTTAGGATGGTTACAGTGACCTGGGGTCATGTAATCCCTTTTGCATCCTTTTGACAAGCAAAGTCAGCGGGAAAGCTAGAGTCACTTAACAACCATGCTACTAACTTAACATGTACAGTGATTCACTTAGTAACTGTGACAAGAAAAGTCGTAAAATGGAACAAAACTCACTTAACAAACGTCTCAGCAAGATAAATTTTGGGATCAATTGTGGTCATGAGTCAAGGCCCACCTGTACAAGTCTGTCTGATAGGTTGGCTGGGATGTTAGTATCCCAACCAACCTATGTTTGTGTTTGGAAATAGCACCTCAAAACATTTGCAGTATGGACTGGTCCAAATGAGGCATGGGGGATGTATCTGTTCTATATAACAGAATTATTTGTTATAAAAGTTCCTATATTATCTTACTAACTTATATTTTATGACATACTTTGTATTTATATGATTTCAGCTATCCACGAGAGTCTAATAAATTAATAGAACTCCCAGAAGATTACAGCTGCCTAATCAATCAAGCATCTAATTTTTCGTAAGTCAAGCAGAAAGCAGAAAGTGTTCCCAGATCCTCCAGTTTCTACTAGTTTTCTCCATTCTGTTGCTCTGTTCTGTTTTCCACATTCTGCATTTCATATCACTCAACCAGAAACAAATTTTGTGGGTAGGGGTAACACAATGAGGATAACAAGAGGGAGAAAATATGGGGTAATTTCTGTTGTAGCAGTGCATTTTCACTTGCAATACTTTGAATCTAAGCCATAGTCTTTTAACTGGAGAATGTATATTTAGTACATCATGATAACTAATGTTTCACTATATTAACCAAATATTTTGTTTCTTTCAAAGGTGTCCAAAGTCAGGTGGTGATAAAAGTAGAGCACCAACATTATGCCTTGTCTGTGGAACTATGTTGTGTTCTCAGAGTTACTGTTGTCAAACGGAGCTAGAGGGAGAAGATGTAGGAGCATGTACTGCACATACATATACATGTGGCTCTGGAGTCGGAATTTTCCTCAGGTAAACATATGGTTTTAAATTAGCATTTGGTCAATTTTCTAAATTGTCACACTGTAAGAAAAGAGTAAATAATGACAAAGGTTCAGCAGCAACATCAATTTATTTTTTTATGTAATTTATATGGCTGTCCATCTCATTATGCATTTAACAGCTAAAAAAAAATAGCAAATAACATAACCTTCTTATAGACTCTAATTGAAATTTGATTCCCATGCCCAGGAATTTAACCATGTCTTTGAGGCCTTACAAATGGCCAGCAGGATTGGAGCCAATGTGATCTCCAGGGGATGCTGTTCCAACAGAGATGGACCACTATGGAAACGGTTTATATCTTGGATCTCGTAAAATGTCCCTCTTTAATTGGCAGGAGACATACCGTAAATGCTGGCGTATAAGGCGATTTCCGCAAGCGCTGAAATCGGCGCCAAAGACGGGGGTTGTCTTATACGCCGAGTCGTCTTATACGCCGGAAATACTGGTAGTTTCCGGTGTATAAGACGACGTTCTAGGAATGCGGCCTGGCTATAAAGACGGGGGTCGTCTTATACGCCGGGTCGCCTTGTACGCCGGCATATACGGTAGCATAACCCCTGAAGGCTCTGATAGGATGGGTAAAAGCGATCAGGGAGAGATAGTCTTGAAAAAGGTCTCATTACTCCTGTTTACTCTGATATGATAAATTCTAGTCTCTAGAAATTTATGGAATAATTTATTGGACAATATTAGGAGATTGGATATCATCTTTATTCTGTCTTTTTTTTTTCAGAGTACGTGAATGTCAAGTGCTATTTCTCGCTGGAAAAACCAAGGGTTGTTTCTATGCTCCTCCCTATTTAGATGACTATGGAGAGACTGATCAGGGACTCAGGTAGTTTTTCCATCATTTGCTTTTGATATGAAGATTGATACTATATGCAAATTTCATTCATCCTGCTTTGAATTTTTTTTCCAAAAATGAAGAAATGAGCTGCATAAATGAACTATTTTGTTGCAATACTCAAAATGGCCACTTTACTCATTTCTGTATATCCAGTATATACATTGCAAACTTGAAAGAAACAAAATATTTTTAAAAATAGGATAAATCTAATAGTAATAGTTATAATAATTTTAAAGAAGTTGAACTGAATGTCAATGAGATAATTATGTCAGAGTGAATCTTGTTCTAGTTTTATAAAATGGACTTACAGATCAAAACTCCAGGGGCATTGCTTAATACATAAATTGAAGTATTTGAATAGAGGAAAACTTCATAGAAGCTTTATTTAGTTTCTCTTCACTCATAGTGGCAATCTCAGGTAAGAGTAAAATCCACATGCAACTAGGTCATTACAAGCATTTCTAGCCACTTCCGGTTTGCGCTCGTAGTGTATGGCTGTGTGTGAGTGGATCTCTGCTCCCCATGGCTAATTTTGCCCTGCCTGGGGACCCTAGATGGGTCCAAAGTCGCCCTGGAGAGGTGACTGCAAAGAAGAGGTGCCCCACAGTCGCTTCATTTGATCTGGGGAAAGCCCTCCGAACTGACAGAAGAAAGGCTAGCCACACGCCAGCATCTAGCCCAAGCTACTGCAGCCAAAGTCCAAGAGCACTACGAAGAACAACAGTGAACAGCATGCTTGGAACTGGTGAGAGTATTTGATCTTCTCTCCCTTATTTTACAACTTGTCCCTAGGAGATCCCCAAAGCAAACAACCTCCGAAAGTGAGGAGAGGGGATTACATTCTCATTCCCCCATAGACAGAAGCGGCGAATTAACCTTTAAGGAGAAAAGAACTTTATTGAAATTAAATTCAAAATACTATAATCTGATCAAATTTAAAAACTAAAACAAACTGCTAAGATTATATTCTAAAGGATTTTGATCAAATTACATAGAAAAAGAAAAATAATAAGAACTTTTTGTCTGAAAGAGCTGGAAAATACTAAAGACAAGGCCCAGCATACTAAAGACAAGGCCCAGAAATAAAGAATAACAAATCTGTTCCCATGAACTCTAATAATCTTTAAGAAGATAGCTTCTAAGGAACAGAGAAGAGATTGCATACTGGGCCGCTACAAGATTGGAAAGTGTTTAAAGGAAAAGAAATGTGGTTTAAATTTATGAACTGTTTAAAAACTTTGTTCTGTGATAAAGTGTTGAGAAGGGAAGTTACAGGAAGGATTTAAGCTAGTTAATTATACTGAATTGACAACTGAAAGAAAAGAATTTTTATAAAATATTGACTTTACTGAAACTTTGACAACTGAAAATTACAGTGGATTACAAAAATTATATATAACAACAAGAACTATACAAAATTGGACTGTATGGATATTGAGTTTTGGTTAGATGGACAAGGCTAACTACAGAAACTATGGCATTTATGATGGACTACTCGAAAGGGGGAGACAACATGGATATGATATACTTATCAAAAAATGATAGAAAACCACACCTAATATCTATTCCTGAAAGATTTAGCTTGAATGATCAAAGACCTTTAGAAACACTTCAAGACAAGACAAATACTTTCCAAGACGAAATTTATGTAATGCTACGATAGATACAAACTACAATAGACTTAAACCACCAGGAGATTAAATATAATTTTGATACTATAAGTGAATATACTTTTAAAAACATTCAAAGAATGATGTTAAAGAATCAACAAACAATCCAGACAACAGAATGTGAACTAGAAAAAAATGATTTGACTGGTGAAGTTACAGTTGAAGCAAATTATACCTTAATACAAACAAGAAAAAACTTACAAGACTTGGAGACAACGATAAATATGGAAAAGATACCTTACGCATTAGAACATCAAAACAAATCTGAGAAGAAAGAAGACTTAACAAAATGGACACTGCTAGGAGAATTATTGTTTGGCAGACAAAAAGCACACATCTTATCTACTATGTATCCTCTATTCCTAACAATACAAAAATACAAGAACTGAACAAGTTGAAAATATTAATTTGGAAAACAATTTCAAAGGAAAAAGATTAGAGACGGGCTGAAGAGACTGGATTCGCCCTACTACATGGAATACTATATGAGTGAACACCTGTTTGAATATGGCTAAACAAATAAATAACTTTGGCCATAAAGGGACTTTAGAATAAGTGGGATAAGAGATATAAGAAATACAGTATTTTTTTTGATAAGATACAAAATGTAAAAATATAAGGATGTAAGGGAAGGAAAAGTTTGAATTTTAAAGATAAGTTTGAAAAGATTTAGGATTAAGGAAAGATTGAAATATTGAGGGGAAATTAGGCTAAATAAGAATTCTGAAAAAAAAGGATATATAGTGATTTAACTAATTTCTACAAATAGAAGTGAAATATAATCTGATTAGAAAGATGTTATGGATAGATGTTATAAGAGATAAGTAGTATAGTATCTCTATAATATATGAAATATAAAAATACTGGGATGATATATTTAAATGGAAAATTTAGATATTTAGATGTTAAATACTGGGAAAATAAATTGACAAGAATTATTTGAATATTATGGAGAAATTGAGCTTAAACAAGATTTATGAAAATAAGATACATGATAAATCAATAAGATGATTCTTACAAAAATATCATAAGCTGGAAAAAATGTTATATATGGACGCTACTATTGTTGGTATAAATATAGAAGAAAATGTTTTTACTTAATAATTTAAATATGGAAAATGTCAATATTAGACATTATATTTGTTTAATGTTATAGAAGGAGAATATTATTGGGTGAAGAGAAGATGCAGGAAATATATTTACAATTGATATACTAATTATGGAAATACAAAAATTAATTACTATTGATTGTTTATTAATTATTATTAATTGTATATTTTTTCTAAAAAAAATATGAACCAAAACAACACTCTGTACACTAGGTACTTAGGATGTTATTGTAAAAAACCAATAAAACTTTTACATAATAATAATAATAATAATCATCATTATCATCATCATCTTTTCTAGCCACTGGGCTAAATTATTTCTATGTGTATATGGAATATTTGAAGAAAATTCATACATATTGAATTTCATAAATATTATTACATATTTTTAATTTATATGTTCCTTTTTCTTCCCTTTCCTAGGCGTGGGAATCCTTTACATCTGTGCAGAGAAAGATTTAAAAAGATTCAAAAACTCTGGCAACAACACAGTATCACAGAGGAAATAGGACATGCACAAGAAGCAAATCAAACTTTAGTAGGCATTGACTGGCAGCATTTATAATTTTATTTTCTGAGTTCTAGAACTGAATAATTCTTTTGTAATCCATCATAATACATCAAGCAAAAAAGAATTAGCAAACAAAGGATGGAAAATAATAAAGAGAAGAATTGATTTTTTTCATTTTTGTTTTATACATTTATTGGTTACCATAACCATATAACTTTACTGTGTAGCATATTTAATTAATAGTATTATTTGCACTGAGCTTCCTTCACAATCTCTGTTGATGTCTCTAACTTGACTGAATGAATTTGTACAAAGTTATACTTGGCATCTACTGAAACTTCTTTAGATATCTGAAGGAAGAAGAAAAATTTGGCTGAAATAGCATCTTGATCAAGCACAATGCTGAAGCAGTGTGGTCTCCTTTTTGTAAGAAATCTGAGCCATTTTGCATTTTAGTACTTAAACTGTTCAATATTTGGAATTAGCTGAAAAAAGGTGCAAAAATGTAGCAATGGATTTATTTACAAGAGTGCTAAATAACACTCATATTGAAAATGACTTTGTAATCTGCAGTCTTGCATGGTTCCTTGGCACTAGTCCTTTTAACTAAAAGAGAACACTTCATAAGGGAAACTAATTATCTTCTTGAAGTCATGCACACTTTAGGAGTATTTTGTGTGGATTGTGATATTGACATAGTAAACAAGGACTGTTTTTCCACAATATGATTGGTAGACTTTGATATTGCATTGTTTTTCTTAGAATGTAAGATAGCAACTTCATCCCTTGGAGGAGTCATGTAAATCTTGATTTAATCTCAAATTGAAGAAGCTGAGAATAAGAATTTTTTAAATATTTATTCCAGTTTTAAAGATTCTAGATATATTAGCCTTTTTACAATTCTTATGATGAAACAGAGGAACCCAGTATCTGTGGGGGTCCAGTTGCAAAATTTAATAGTTACTAATTTCCTTCGCAAGCACCAACAAACACATGAATTTGCACTTGGCTGGCATTCAGTAAAGAAGTTTGTCTATAGTATACTTTATAAGTATATTGAAAACTGCACAGATTTTGCACATGGATGCCTGAAGGCAGTGAATTTTCTAAATACTATACTTTCTGGAGAGTTATCATCTATCCTTTAAAATACCATTTTTTAAAAAAAATGCTTTATTACATAATCATAATCTGTAATCTTATCTAATGCTGATAAAGTAGGGAAATTTTAGAACACTGCTGAAAAGCCATCCTTTTAACATGCATTTTCATGTTATTATAAATTATTTTTTTTAACAAACAGGATATATCACTTCATGCTGTCTTGTCAGAATAGTTGCTATTAATATATCAGACACATACAAAGTTAGATGAATTTGGCTGCCTTTTATTAGAGTGAAATTGAGCAGCCTGATTACAGTCTTCCTAATGCATTAGTAGTAACCTAGGCTCTTTTTCCTCTATGTGTTGAATAGTAGTAGTTTCATTTTCCTTCTTCCTCAGTCTAGATTGTAGATACTTGGTGTGACTGATGCATTTAATTTGCTAATTCTGCTCTAACACAATTTATTTAATATAAAATTTGCTTTAAGATATACACAGTAACAATGCATTCAGTTCTATGGAGTTTATCCTCCCGCCCCTTGTGATTGCATAGGAAAAATCAGAAACAAGAATAAAGAAAGCTCTGCTGCTTTGTAAAAAAGAGAATTGTACAAAGTAAATATTGGGATAAATGCCCCCTCCAAGTACTACAGATGAGATGAAGGTCGAATAGGTGGTGGTTTTAAGGTCATGACACATAAAGTGTGTAATTTATCCTGGTTTTTAGCAAGGTTGCTGCTTCTTCAATTGCCCATTTTCTTCTTTGTTTTTCTTTCAGCATGTATTTATGTTAATTATAGAAATATTTATATAACAAGCTTTCACTATCAGGGAATTCATACCTGTAATGAATGACTTTCATATCTGTGAACAACTTGTAAAAATTAAAATGTATCATATGTATAAAATATAAGAATAAATGCTTTAGGTGTTGTTGATATTTAATTAATGCTTGAATCTTGCTCACTTTTAAAAGATTCTGTTCTGTTGAAGACTTTAATTGCTAAGTTGTTAAAAATGCCTTGGATACATAGTGTCTCTGGTTTCCATTTTTAAAAGTTTTAAATATTGCAGTCAGGCACATTATTCTACTATCCTTCTCAGGGTTGAGCTGAAACAATTCAACATTAATAAAGTTAGTATCTCAGAAGTTACTTTTAAGTAGTTTTTGTGACTGTATTACACTGTATCACATGATTATTTATAAATATCTAAAATAGTAACTAATAATTTGATGATTTAATAATATTTTTTACACTTTCCAATTATTATTCCTGAACAATCTTATTTTCTTCTGTAATTTCTTCAATATGAGTCAGGTATGGAAAGATTATTTTTTAGGATAATCTTTCAGCTCTAGGAAGCAGGCAGTGGGCAAACCACTTCAAAATGTTACCAAAAAAACTGCAGGAACTTCTCCAGGTAGTTGCCGGGAGTCAACATTCATTAGAAGGGACAAAGAAAAAAAGAAAGAAAAACAGAAAAGAAAAAAGAGGACATCTAAATACCTGGTAACTACAATGATGAAAGTTTGTATTTTAGTATTTCTGGAATACTTTTTAAAAATTTATCACTTATGTTCTGGCTTATTAATTCAGCACGAAGATACTGTTTGAATAAAGATGCTTCTGTAGATTTCACTTGCTCTGGCTAAGCAGTGTATGCGTAAGGAAGCAACTGTTGTCGAGCATTAGGTGCCCAGAACAGAAGAATGTGTGAAGGTTAATCTTGTAAATTGTATTAAGGTTACTTAGGAATAATTAGCTCTGACGAAGCCATGTGTATTTTCCACTCCTAGAATGTTTCATATTAATCTCTTAGAAAAAGAAGAAAATGTTTGCTTGCTTCCCTTAGTATCACATTTCTAAACTTAAGCAGAAATGGAATTGCTACACATCTTAACAGGAGGAATATTAGCATACAATAAACTCCCCACAAAATGTACTTTTTACAATCACAATTTTTTGTACTTGTTTTTCAGCATGGGCATCCATTTTTGAAGTTGATATATGAAACCTGAAAAAAGTTGGGCTACCTAAGTGAATAGTTGAGAGATGATAAAAGCATTTCTTGTAAATAATTTTCAAAGATGCAGAGCCTTTCTGCTTTTACTGCTCTACCATATTTTTTCACTATTTTGTATATTAAGAAATTTAAATTGAAAATTATGTCAAGTCGTTTGACAGAAAAGGATAGTGGTAATCAAATATTCTTACAATTTTTTCTAATAATATCTACAGTATATTCACATTTGGAAAATCATATCTATAACCTCTTTTATTTGACAGGACAATTATTACAAACTGCATAATAGAATATGAATTCCCATCTTCTACAATAGTGTTTTTATGATTTCTAGAAATATGCCTGATCATATGCCTAGTAGTTTTAATACTAGGACATCTTACTGAAAAACGATTAGCTAAATCAAATTGAAGATATTTCCACTCTCTTCCTTCTTTTGATCCCAAGAAAGCAACATAATAATTGAGGTGACGCTCCTTCAAGGAAACAAGAACAAATTCTCAAACAAAAAAATATACGTAATTGTGATGTGGGACACAAATCTGATTGTCTTTTTACTGATTACAATGAATATCCTTGTGATTATTGGAAACTGGAAATAAATTTGCATTTTCTGATACGGCAATAAAAGAAAGTATTGAGTAAAAAAATGAAACTGGATAAAACTCCTTTCAATGAAAAATGATAGTTTGAATTGAATATGTTTAGATTTGAGGAAATTTTTAATACAATACAATAAAATTCTGGAATATTTACAGAACATTTGTATAACATACAAAGAATTAGCACGGTGAAATAGCCCCAATGAGATTTCTGAAATCTTCCTAATTAAACTTTTTACCAATTGCTTTATATGAATAGTTAACCCATATTCATCTAATTAGATCCATGATAAACAAGGATTCTACAAAATCTAAGGATTCTGTTATCATATTATGTTCATACTGGGTCTTCCAATTGTGGGAAATAGATTTCCATTTTCCTACTTTTCATCTCTGGTTTCAAAAGCTATCATGGAACAATCACAAAACTCAGCAAAGACTCAGAGGACTGTACTAATACTTTAAAATATACCAGCATATATAGTAGGATTTGGATATTATTTGGGGAAATCCCCAAAATGTCATTACAAAAAATGCAAGCAAAATGACCACTTCAGAAGAAAGATAGCGTATGCAGAATTGAATAAAGGTATAAAGATTTTCCTACTTCTCATATTCAGGCAATTATCAAAAGTGACAGTTCTTCAGTTTTGACACTTGACATAAGTGCTGTTATTAAAATCCTTGCCTGAACATTATTGCCTCTTATTGGGACTATTACAGTAATAATTCCTTGTGGTATTTCTACCTTCTCTACCTCTCCTACCCTACTTTTTTATTGCTAACTCCCTTCCTTGATCATATAAGCTTTCAACCATATTCCATTTCATATCATCTTCAGTATCACATTTTTTATTTCAAAAGTTTTGCTATTCTTTTCATGGCTGGAGCTTCATAACTAGGAGAAAATTACCAACCACTTGCTGATTTTCTATTTTCTGCACCATTACAATGCCATCAGTCAAGCAAAGATCCTAGTTTTAGTTGCTGCCTCTTCCAAATAAATGGAATCCAGGGCCCAAAACTAGGAAAATGGGCACCAGTGAAAACAGCTGCCAATCTTAAATATAATTTAACTTAGACCTCAGAAGACGCTTCGTCAACAAGCACCTCCTGTCTGTAACAGTCTTTGCTGCTACTTGTCTCTTTGAGCAACTTTATGCTGTTTTTTTATTGATCATAACATTAGCTTGTGCATTATTACTCTTATCAAAGGCTACAAGAATTTTGGGTTGGCTCAGTTCCACATCTAACTAGACTGCTGATTAATAGGCAGATTTCTCTGCTTTTTCCTGGGAAAGGCTCACCTGGCAAAGATGTGTTTGTGTAGTGTCTGTGTCATATAAGACAGATATTTATTTAACTCTCCATGCTTCACTCAAGCTTATAAACATTAAAAGATACCTGCAGAATAATATAACATTAGACAATCTTAGTGAATACATTTTGTATTAAAATGCATTGAAACAGTAATATTCAATATATTACCATAACAGGAAACTCCAAGTCTTTCTACATAGCACCTAATTCACTAAATTAAAGTGCAAATCTTTTTACTTGCTTCTCAATGCCAGGAAAAAATCCTTAACCCCATTTACTGAATGTGATAACTTTATTTTGATGAGGGTTACAAATAGGGCTTCATGATTCCTTCTTAAAAGACAGCTTAGTTTTTGCACCAGATTTACAGATGAGCAAGTGTCAGCAACTTAGGTTAAAAGTTATACTGGTTTGCAAAGCTCTCTTGTTTTATAAAATTACCAATTTCTGTCAGTGCATAAAAATTCAGTGCAACTAACTTTGTTATTGCTATAATCATGATTGAATACACTTCTTCAATTGCAATTTTAAATATCTGCTTTTGTCCAAAAAGAAAAAGAAAATTAAAATGCATTTTTCTATATACCTTTCTAATTTTCCAGTCAAATTTTTTTTTGTCCTATCATAGGTACGCATAATCCAGGATACATATTTTCCAAATATTTGTAAACTTAAAATACAAAAAATAATTACATTTCTTCCTTGGTTTCCAGTTCCAGGGATCCACAGCAAAATGCTCAGTGCCAGAATTCCAAAATAGAAGTTAATGCTTGAATTTTAATATGAAAGACCCTAATGCCTTATATACTTGCTTTAATGTTAAGTGTTATTAATAAACAAATATGTAGCTGTGATGGCTCATTTTTCAAAAGTTAGAATTCATAATTTTCAGTCTAGGTAAAGTCATGTTAGCTGGGAAACTCAGCTGACGGTTGCAACAGCTTGGGGTTTTGCACCTTCGTCTCCTGCACCTTCACCAGCATTCACTTGGTTTCCCTTACCAATATTTTTCAAATTTTCCAGGGTGGATTTAAAAGTATCTTTCAGGCTCTTCTCCAGGACCCATCCTTCACTTTCACATTCAGGATCTTCTGGATTGGTGATATTTTCCAGAGAGGTATGCAACAGGCGCAACCCTATCATTATTAACATCTGAGTGAGATACAAAATGAATTGTGAGTTGACTAAATAGACTGGCTCATTTCACAGACTGTATAAATTTAAAAGAACCTTAATCATAAAATAATAATCAAAAGTCCCTAAGCAAGAGTATTCTTTACAGATCTACAAATAGAAGAAAAAATAGGAATATATGATATTAGCTTACACTTCAAATTACCCTCTATAATTTGAGCCGTGCATACAAGTAGTCCTTGCTTAATTATGGTAATTGGGAACAGCATTTCTGTCACTACATAAGGCTGTCGTAAAGTGTGACATCACATGATTGTGCCGATTTACAACAGCAGTTCTGGCACTTCCAGTGGCATCTATTAAGAAAATCCCAGGCAATTGTTAAGTGCAATGTCACCTGGTCACCTCATGCAGGCTGCCCCATTAATTTTGTTTTTCCGGAAGCCATCAGTAAAGGTTGCAAATGGTGATCATGTGACTGCAGAATGTTGCAACTATCATAATTGTATGTCAATTGCCAATCTCCTGAATTGTGACCATGTGACTATGGGGACACTGCAACATCTGGAATTTCAAGGACTGTTGGACTTAAGTTCCACTCATTTAGTGCCATCACCACTTCAAACAGCTACTGAAAGAATGATAGTTAATACTTATTCTTGTGCCCTATAGCACCACAATCATACTGGTTGAAAGTTATCTTCTTTCACTAGGGCTACTACTATAGATTTTAATGATTATGCCTTGTTATGGACCCTAACTTTAGGAAATAAACTAAAGTCCACCGACTTATATTTCTACTAACTCTGACCAGGCTAAAAGGATGCTATAACAAAACCTGGAGGATGTAAAACTATTTAGCTCTGTAACACAGAGCTTACAATGTTCATTATTGAGATTAGCTGGCAACTTGTAACTCCCTAAGCACCTTAACTTCCATTGATTCCCAGGTAAAACAGATAGGTTTTATATCAAATTGCTACTATTATATACTAATAAAGATATAACGAAGATTATTGTTATCTATTATCAGGTCTTAGTGAAGATACAGCAGCTGGCTTCTCCAGCTAATTTGAAACTTCATTTTGTAATTGTATTCTAAATTTTCTCCTATTAAACTCTTTCTTGTAAACTGAAAGTTATTTCATCTACATGTTTCTTTCTGCATAACTTCTGTTCTTTGATTTTCATAAATTTTGATATGAAGCTCATAGGAAATCAGCTACTTAGAAGACAGTCGGGATTAAAACTAGTATGTATGTAAAAGCATGTATGTAAAAGAAAGAATCAGTACTTGAAATTGAGGCAGGAAAAATAGAGTTGGAGCCTATAATAAGGAAGCATATAGTAACTACTTAGGTTTCCCAAGAAAAACTCTTGGAATAATCTAGATCAGTGGTTCTCAACCTGTGGGTCGGGACCCCATTTGGGGTCGAATGACCATTTCACGGGGGTCGCCAAACAATGCAGTCCGCCATTTTTTTCCCCTTTTCCTTAGCTGTGCTACTCCCTTTTATTCTATTGGCTTTTGAAAGCCAATAGAATAGACTCTCTTGAATAGAGTCTAATTCTATTGGCTTTCAAAAGCCAATAGGAATTGTCCAGGCTGTCTCTGCCCTGCTGAGCCCGCCAAAAGTCTCATTCTGCAAATGGTGCTGCACCAGTTGAGTAGTCCTCGACTTATGACCAGTTGAGTAGTCCTCGACTTACGACCGGTTGGGGGTTGCGGCATTGAAAAGGTTGAGAACCACTGATCTAGATGGTTAGAGAGTATTTCATTTTCATGTAGATATATATGCTTCAAAAAAGCATATATTTTAAGAGTTTGCAGTGATTGCAATATCTCATTTTTAATATTCCTAGGTTTTCCTAACACGGAGTTATGGTAGCTATGCAATACTTCTATAAATGATTTATGGAACTTCGGGAAGAAAGCTATGGCTGCAACTGTTTCTGTGATTGTGAGAATGCATAGCTTTGGATTCAATTTTCTTAGATCAAACTGGAAACTTTCTCAAGGGTCAGCTATACATGATAACATTGTAGAACAATGCATCTACAGATAAAATGTGCAAATAATGTTTTTTCCTTTATTTTAATAAAACTGAATCCGGTTGAACTAGAGTAAACAAACACAGAGAATAAATATAAATCATAAAAAATTAAATAGAAATCATAAAAGAAAAAAAACACATATAGAAAGGAACCCTGTTGCAAAGGCAGACATGTAATTTTAAGGAGAAAGACAAACACTATATTAATTTTTCATGTTTTAACAAATCCTGAAGATAGTTCAATTGGTGGACAATTTATCAGATGTTCTGATCCTAAATTCAGCTTGCCATGGACATTTTGAACAAGTCCAATTCTGATGATATTTTTTTTTAAAAAAATAAATTTGTAATCTACTTTGGCAAATCTTTTAATGGCATCTGGAGACAGCAAGTTAAGTAGAGGTTAGTAAGTTCTAGCATAGTATCTTACAGTTAATACCCTTCTAACTGAATCAGCAGTGTCATTTTTAGAGATAAATCCAGACTCTTGCTGTTTACAAATGTGTTTAACCTATTAGTCAATAAAGAGACAATTTTAAATAAGTTGTTAACAATAAAATAAGCCAATTACATGTTAGGTATTTGTATTTGTTTTTTTAGAGATCAATCAGAAAAAATATTTTCAAGAGTCACAATTTTTAGTACTTGTGAATATACCATGGTATACTGTTTTAAGTCTATTTAAAATATTTCATAGCATTTACGCCCAAACCATATCAATTAGAATGAATACTTTGTCTTTTGTTACTCCTTAAGGTAATATTTATATTCACTGATTAATTCAATGAGGTTGGAGCTTATTGAGTAATAATATCAGAATTATTGCAATTGTACCATATATAAATGCAAAAAAAAAAAAATAACATTGTTGACTTTAAAGCTTCTTAGATCTCAGTCTTCTCATTCAGGCACATGACGTATTTGAAAAACATTTGAGAGACCATCTTTCTCTAATTACTTTTTTCTACTCATCCATTTTGATAGGGTTCCTATTGGATCCCCTCTATTAAGCAGCACCATCTTATAGTATCCAGAGGACAGAGGGTATGTCTTTTTTATTGAGGAATAGCATCTCCTCCACAAAAATCATGATATGGAGGCTTTCAAGAAAATTTGAAGACCTGGCTTTTTCCATAGGGTATCCACTATTGAAGATGTGTTAACAATTCCTTTTTTCTCCCAATATGGCCTGTTATTTGTGGTTTTAAAGTATTGCTTTCTCTGGTTTTAACTTTTGTACACTGACCAGAGCCATTGGCTAAATGGGCAATCCTATAAACTTAAATCATACATGAATAAAAATTTCCCAAATATTCAGAAATGCATACTTTTGTTTAATGTCTCCGTAAGTAACACAAGGCCCAGTCCAAAATGGAGAGTAGAGAAAAAAATGGGAACTGGGGCTATGTCATCAAGTTGGCAAATGGACCCCCACAAGAAGGTATGGATCTATCTGTATTCCAAGATATCCAACATACATCAGGGTTTTTTTTTCATAAGAAAAAAAATCCACTTCAGCAAGGACCTTTCATCCTACAGGACCAAAGCAAGATACATGAATTCTGACTGAGGAAAGAAAGAAAGAGAGTGGAAGGAGAGGAGTGGCCTGCATAAATCTAAAATACTTCTAATATTATAGAGAACAGTATTAGGATCAATAAGATATTTCTGGCCCAATTAAAATATCTCATCTTTACCACACTAAAGGAAATTCCTCTCCATTCCTGTTACGTAGCTAAAACTAATCGGATTTAATACAGCAACAGTGTTAAATCTGATATCCATATGATCCTATAGTATAGCCTAGATGGGGGAAGGAGAATACCTGTTTGTTTTTCTTCTGAAAATCTTTCCCTCAAAAAAATCTGAACAAGGCTGGTACCTGTGTAACTCTGCAATATTTTCTACAAAATGGCAATTATTATTTAGCCATGATAATTGCCATTGATGCAATTCTTTGTGGAGAAGTGCCCATTGTGATGTTCTGAACAACTGAAAGAGAAATAAGCTTGCCAATTGTATTACCTCAAAAAGCCAGACAAAGAGGACAACCACTCCCATGGAGGTCATTATGCCGCTGAAGTAATTAAGCAGAGACTCTCTGCAGCCACGAGTCCATAGATTGAGCTCTTCTGTTTGGTAGTCATAACTGTAGTGAGCTGAGTTATTAGAAACCTGGTACTGGATGCATGGCCGTGGAGAACTTGGATTGCAGCAGCTGAAGGGAACACTGTCCACCAAATATTTGCCATCCACGTTACTTTTAATGCGACTGTAAATGAATAAGAGCAAATCTGTACTTAGGAATAGCCACTAAGAAAGATGGAGCAACATCTGGTTTCATCTGCAGCATGTGAATTCATTTGCATTTTCCTTAGAACATCTGGATATGATTTTTCTCATTTACAACACCTGGTATTTTGTTTCTTGAGCTAGACTGAGAACAGCCTTCTGGTTTTGCATGTATGTTACCAGAAAGTCTCAAATAAAAAAACAGGGAACTGTTTGGCAGATTGATATGCTAATGAGGAATTAATTTGTGTTAAAAGGGGATGCAATATTAAGATGTTGGACTAGGACAGGGGTAGGCAACCTTGGCTCTTTTATGAGTCATGGACATCAACTTCCAGAAATCCACGAGTCATAAATGAGCCAAGGTTGCCTACCCCTGGACTAGGACCAAGAAGGCCGGGGTCAAATTCTCATGGGATTACTTTGAGCAAATTGCTTTCCTCACAGGGTTAGTGTTGTGGTGGAAAATGGAAGTGAGGAGGGAAGGGAGGAGACCTATGTATACTGCCCTGAGTTCCTGCACGAAACGTAGAATGTAAACCTCACACAAAAATAAAAAGTAGGTTTTTTTTAATAGTTAAAAGAAAGTCCTCAATTTACTGTGTAAAAATGTTGATTACATATTAATACAAGAAGGAAGGCTACTTGCTTGTCTCATCATATTAATTCCCCAACATTGAAGAACAATTTTCTTCAAAATATTTTTATTCATATTCAAATACTACTGTACTGATTAATAATTAACATAAACTTGAAGATTTGGAGCTAAATAATTGTCAGTAGCTGTTTATCTCCCTCTGCAAGCTTTTTCTGGAAATCAGAAAATGGTCTGGGCAAAGAATATCACCACTGAAATTGATTGATTGATTAATGCTATAGTTCTGTACTGTTCTATTGACAGTAATGGGAGTGGAAGGCAATGGGAGTGCACAATTGAATAATATATACTGAAATGTATTGTAGATTATAAAAGGAGGGAAGGTAAGGAAAGATTTCAGGATCAGCAAAGAATGATATGCATGTAATCCTTGACTTATAACCTTTTGTTTAGTGACCGTTTTAAATTACAGTGGCTCTGAATAAGATGACTTCTGACTGTTTTTCATACTTAGTTTGTTACAGCATTCTTCTGGTCACATGATCAAAATTTGGACACTTGGCAACTAGCTCATATTTAGGACAGCAGCACTGTCCCGGGGTCATGTGTGATCCACTTTTGCATTCTTCTGATAAGCCAAGTCAATGGGGAAGCCAGATTCACTTACTAACTGAACAATTGCAGTGATTCACTTAACAGCTGTGGCAAGAAAGGCCATAAAATGGGGGCAAAACTCATTTAACTGTCTCGCTTAGCACAGAAATTTTGGGCTCCATTGTGATCATAAGTTGAGGACTACCTGTACAAATTACATAATTATTTGTACTGCATTTCCGGTGATTGGAGCGGATAGCTCTCCTGTGAGTTACATGGATGGGTCCATACTTTTTTTTGGCAACAATGTGGAAGTAGTTTCCCATTGTCATTTATACTCCCCAAGTTTGATGGGGATTTCTTCTCCAACTACTAACTAGTTCTTCCAACCCTGCTGAGTTTTCTCAGGCTCCTAGGTGGATTAGGTAGAAGCATAGAATAGAATGTTGTCAGAGAAAAGCACAAGGTAGTAAAGTATCCATTAAAAACAAGGCTTGGATGTAGGTGTTGGTTTACAACATAAATGCCAATAACTATTTTTTATATATCATGTAGGATCAAAAAATATCAAGATCAGACAATTTTTATAATGTTAATTCATTATTATTCAGTCTGATGAAGTCACCAAAACTTTGTTCAACATGGGGAGAGTGATTATTTCAGGTAAAACCTTTAACAATTGTACCATATAATAATAATAAAGTTGGAAGGGACCTTGGAGGTCATCTAGTCCAATCCACTGCTCAGGCAGGAAGCCCTACACCATTTCAGACAAATGGCTGTCCAGTCTCTTCTTAAAAACTTCCATGTTGGAGCATTCACACTTCTGGAGGCAGGTTGTTCCACTGGTTAATTGTTCTGTCAGGAAGTTTCTCCTTAGTACTAGGTTGCTTCTCGCCTTGATTATAAAGGACATTAATAGGTTTAAATACCATTAAACGTTGGGAATTATTTTGTGCACATAAGAACTTACTGGAGTAAAATAAACAGCCTATCAGTTAAATTCTGTATCAAATCAGCTTCTTTGATATCTGCCTGCTGGTGGAAGGAAATTTGAAAGAAACTGCAATGGCTAAATTAGATGAAAACTCCAAATGCTGAAAAGAACCACAGAGAAATTTCTATCTTACTGATAAAAGAGAATATACTTAGTACTTCTAGTGCTGCTGATGTTATCTAATTTGGATAATAAAAGGTCTGCAAGGAAACAACCAGGCTCAGAGAGCCCCAAGGACCTCTCAAGTTTCTGTCTTAAGTTTTTAAAACAGAAAGAAGACCTCTTTGGAGTATCTTAATATTCAGGGAAATACTGTAGAAGAAAATGGATAAAAAAGGAATAGGAAATGAAGGCATCAGGCTTGAATAAATAATTACTGTGGTTTGATCATACAGAGAGAAGGAATGATAAACAAATTACAAAATATACAAAGAGTAAATGGGTAGTTAGAAGGACCAAAAAAGTCTTATGGTTGGTTGGATGGAACTTATGAGATACTCAAAAAGACAACTGTCAAGAACAAAAGGCAATGTATGAATAGATGTGTGGACATGATGGAAACAAGGATGGACCTACTACTGAATAGTGTTAGTGTAAACTAGTTTTAAGTTTCTTTTTATTTTCTCATGTTTTCTTTTGCTTCTTACCCCTTACACTTTTTCTGCATAACTTTACAAACTCCAAAACTGAATAGTATTGATAGATAGCACTTATTAATATATGTACAATTGAACTAATTTTAGTTCACTGGCTGCTTTGAAAAATGGGACACAAATTAGAATCTGAAGGAGAGATAATCTCATAACTGTGGCACCTTCCCTCACCTTCAGGCATAATGCCTGAGTAAGGCAAGTGTTACATTGGAGAAATGGAATTGTAGCTGACCATGACATAATCATTTCATGTTTCATGAGTGATATGTGAAATATCAAACAAATGGAGTGCTAATGAAACAAATTATTACAATTCCATTTACAAGCTACAGCCTCTTGAATTATGTTGTATGGAACATAGCCTGTAGCAATCCTTGTTAGGTGTTTAAAGGCAGTCTCTAATCTGGCTCTTCACCTAGGCCATCACAATGGAGAATGATGTCCCTCACTTCAATGTGTTTGCCATTTTTTTTTCTTTTTTATGTTTTATTTATTACATTGTAATTTTTTGAGTGTTGTGAGACACTCAGAATTGTTGAAAATTGAGGATATGCAAGTTTAATAAAATAATATTATGACTAGTTGCAGTGTCAGCCAGAAGTTTAGACTGGATTTGGCATTTTTAAAAGTATTGTTGCAGGATGTTAGCTATTCCAGGTAAAGCTGCTTTTTGCAATTTTGTCAATACCAAATGCTGTTCAAGTGGTGCTCCAGATGTTTTGGAATTGCACCTATTAGTATTGATACTATTCTTGCTTTCTTTTGCCACAATTCTACTTTTATTTGCAGGTCTTTGTATTTTGTGATTTTCTCAGAATTCTTTCACTTCTGTTTTGCTATCTCCAAATATTACAATAGCCATAATTTTCTGTCTTTCTTATCAACAATTGTTAAGTCTAGGGGTGTTATGTGGCAGGTGCTGATGGTGAATTCTAAATTATTATCATCACCTGAGGAATCTTTTTCCTGAAGATAATCCTGACTATTTATAATCTCCAAAGTATTATACACTAATTAGATAGCCTTATCTCCACTCAGTCTCCTGCTGATTTCAGTATGAACTGGATAATGTGCCTGGGACATTCAAATACATTCTGTACTTTGATAATATAAGCACTGTATGTATCTATATCCAAAATAAAATGAGCAATCACAGTGTATTCCAAGATATTGAATTTAAGTAATGAGATTATTTTTATACCTGAAATTCTATCATCATTTTTAAAAATAGTACAGTATTACACTGTCTGACAATGTAATCTCGTTTTATTTCTCACGTACTGTCCTCCTGTGGATGGATTAAACTCAAGCTCCAAATCTTCAGATAATGCCAGCATAGTGGACATCTCATTATACTTTTCCATATAGTTATTTACATCAAGACATAATTTGAATGGTTCCCATTCATATATTTGTTCAGCATAATATAACAAAATACAAATAAAATTGGTATTTATTTAATTGGACTACTTTAAGACTACAATGTTTGGGTAAAAAATCACCACAAGCAAACCAAAAGGTTTTTTTTGCATGCATCTTGAATAATTCATATTTGCACTAAAGAAGAAATTATGAAAAGGTATTCAGATATATAACATACAATGGATGGAAACTAATCAAAGAGAGATGCAACCTAGAAATAAGGAGATATTACCTGACAGAACAATTAATTAGTGGAACAACTTGCCTCCAGAAGTTGTGGATGCTCCAACACTGGAAGTTTTTAAGAAGAGATTGGACAACTATTTGTCTGAAATGGTGTAGGGTTTCCTGCCTGAGCAGGGGGTTGGACTAGATGACCTCCAAGGCCCCTTCCAACTTTCTTATTCTGTTAAATGTATTTAAGTATATTTCAGTGAGGATTTATTTATTAAAATTCAGAACTTCAGCACTGGATCTCTATAACCCATCCATATCCATATATTTTAAATGCAATTGGAACTAATGGATTTGCATTAATCACAATGAACTTCCACAAGCTGCCTATAATGCAACTGATAGTGAAATTCTATGTATCTCTTATATATCTATTTAATCATAAATCTCACTGAATTCAATGTAAAGAAAACCACTAATGCAGTTCACTATTAAGATACTTTATACATGTGAAAGCTGTTTATTCATAACAATCAAGAGCATTAAAAATTTTAACCGTTTGAAAACTAGCCATTTCTTCTTAGCATAATTAATTATTGGGGGGGAAACTGAATCTCTTCCTAGGATGAGAAAGTAATGATAGGATATTTTCAAAAAATATCTATAGCAGAAGTCACCTGATAGGACAAAATATATCCAGGCATACTTTCAAGACTGAGAAGTAATTAGAATCCTTGAAAATAAAGTGTGGATTCAGTTTTATACATTCAAGGGCAAAAGAAGTATGTATTGAGCATGTGTACATTTGTAGAACTATAAATCCATTTATCCACCTAGAGGAGAAAGCTAAGAATAGCTACAGAGTGATTTAACAGAGGTCAGAGTTTTCTTGCATAATCCATATCAAATCAAAGAGAGTGGCATAAGCTTTTCAATGAATTCTGATGTATTATTCAAATACTTTGGTTTTTTGGGGGGGAAAAAACAGGCACAATGCCAAATAACAATATAGTAAATGGATGAACCATAAGCTAGAAAGGAGTAGTGAAATATTCCTAAAATAATTCATTGTTAAAGTTATAATGCTATGGTACAAGACAAAATTAAGTATACTGGGAAAATAAAATTAATCAATTAAGTTATATATTTGAAAGTCTGAAAAGGTGGCTTCCTTAATTAAAGTAATAATTTATATTACTCTTTATTGCTGACCATTGTTTGCCATTCACAATGGTACTTCTAAAAAAAAACCCAACCTGAATGGCATGTAAACAGAAGATTTAAAAGCAAAATCATACAACAAAATTAAGTTCTTTTCCACTACTTACTCTTTCACTTCCTTGGAACCAAAATCTAAGTATCGGTTGCTGATCCACTGAATCTCAAACCAGTCTCTGTAACCATTATTTCCACAGCATTTGAACTCAATCTGGAGCATATCAATTGTCTTCTTCATGAAGCACCTTCCTGGAGTATCTGTGTCACGGTAGAACTTCATACTATTTTTTAACCCTTCTGACAGTGTACTGTCAAGAGAACCCCTCATCAGAAAGCAAATAAGAGCAATTAAAAAAATGAAGACATTAAAAATTACACATATGGCTAAATAGAGTTTCAGGAAAAATTTCCATTTTTCAAATTTAGCAGGATCCAGGGAATCGTAGCATATCTTGCCAGCAAGAGCATTAGACGCACAGGCAAGTAGACCTACCAGTATTAAAGAGTTGGGCACAAAGTGGCTTTCAGAATTGTCCATCATTTCACTTCGCTTCCTGAGCTCAATTTTTAGGAAAAGTCCCATAGAAAAAACAACAATTCCAGCAAACACTGAAAACCAATTCATGAGCCATAATCCTTGTGCTAGTTTTACTCGTTTCTTCTGGTTAAACTTGATTTTCATCACTGCCATCTTTTTCGCAACGCTGGTTGTACCAAGCTTCTCCTCAAATCACCCCTTCTTTGAAAAGGGTTAAGAGTAGAACTGGAAAAATATGCCACCACTCAGGCCTTAAAGATTCAAAGGGGCATCCGTCTTGCCGGGACATTATTTAGTTTTTCCATCTTCCTCAACCCAAAATTGAAGAAGTGCAGATACATTTTTCAAATCGGCAAGATTTGAAGTTTTTTTTTTTAAAAAAATCACATTAATAAAAAATTATTGGCAAATAAGATATGCAACTATTTGTGGTCGTCCCTTCTATACAAAGGAGAAACTGTTTCAATTTCAAATAATTAAAGCTGGATCTATACTACGTCATTCCAATACTAATTAGTGTAATCCAATTTAAGAAATCTCTGTCCACAGATAAGCCAAGAAAATAATCCTTTCATTTTACTATTTGGCAGATTTGTGCTTTCACATGATATGACTGAAAAAGAAGATATAAAAAGTTTCCCGGTTCCTAGATTCCATCTCCTCAGGAAATAAGTTTTGAAACCTATACCAGGTGCTTTTCATACACTGACCTACAAATGAGACAGTCTATCATACCACTTATCCTTATGTCACTCACCTTGAATGACATGCTCTGGGACTTAGGCATTTTGGGGATGGAATTAGGTCATGTTTTCAATGGTTTTCAATCTAGGCATTTTAAAGATAAAAACAAGAATTACCAGCTTAATTGTGACAACTTTACTAAATCATCACAGGAGCTGTGTCAAACTGCCAAGACATTTGACCCCAAAATAGAGCAGTTTACAGATTAATCACGAACAGCCAACAATGAGCTTGCTGAGAAAGGAACTCATGTTCAAGGCAAAATGGTGTAATTATCTCACAGTTAATGGGAGTCTAAACTCTGTCATTGCTATTTAAGGTAGAAAAGTGTCTTTTATTGTGCTAGAAAACATTAGTAGGGTGTTCTGATGGAACTTACAGTACTGCATGGCAAGAGGTGAGCCAGTGATATTGGACCGGGAATGTGGAGAGACAGATTCAAGTCCACCATTAGTCATTGGACTTGAGTGGTTTTGGAGCATTCTCTCAGTCTAATTGACCTCACCAGGTTGTTGTAGGAAAAAGGGGGTAAAAGAGTGCTGCTTTGAACTGATGGCCAAAATGGTGGCATAGAATTCTAATAATAGATGTAAATTTGTGGACCTGTGCACTATGCTGAGCTCGTACTGAATATTAGTACTAGGGACATGCTTGGTTCATTTTTAAATGTGAGCTATGCAGAGATTGTAAAAAATCTACTGTGTCTTCTATGAACTTGTTTATCTTATGCTTATTTTTGCAATAATGAACTAGTTATCCCCAAGATACTTAAAATCTTTCCAATATACCCAAATATACCTAACATTCACAAAATTAAAGGGAAGATGAAAGTCTTACTTTAAATAACAAAGACCTAATCTTTGTGAAATGAATGACTGAAAAAATGAATCTTGCATTATTTGATCTGAATCTCCACAGAAAGATGATAAAGATGTAAGCTTAGAGGAGTAGGTACACATCACCAAAAGATAACAAATAATATTGATTGGCTAGGCAGTTTTATACAATCAAATGCTGAACTGTTAAATTGTTTTTTAAAAATTAAAACAAGATGTGCCAACCATAGATTTTTCTCAGGTAATATTACAATTGCAACATTTCACCTTCAAAATGTAAGGAAACTGGAGCAGAAATCTCTATTACATTACAAAGCAACCCATATTGATAGATTTCTATGAGGTCATGGTAGGTGATGAAATATGGTGAGTAGATCTGGGGGCAGGTTTCTTCTGTTCAATCGTATCCAATTCTCAGACACTTCTCCACCTGCCCCCCCTCCCCAGCTCATATGACCGCATTTCAGGAGTTTGGCAATCTGTTCACATTTATGACCAGTTGCCAAGTGCCCTGTGACCATGCAATTGCCATTTGAGACTTCTGGAACCAGCCAGGAAGGTTGCAAATAGAGGAGACTCTGGATTTGAAGCTTGTTCCTTCAGTGTATGGAGGGATTTCCCCTCTGTTCTGTGCAGGGAGAGGGATCCTTTCCTGTGCTAAATAAGCTGAGTTTAAATCTGACAAAGCATTAACAAACCTGATCTTCCAAAAGGCTCTGAGCAGATGCCAGCTTGACTTGTGTTTTCTCCTCCAGAGAGGAGGATGCTGGTGAAAGAAGTAGATTCTGGAGGAGAAAATGCTAAAGGCTCCAAATCTCAGCATCCTGAAATATCGAGGTTCAGAGCCTTTCAGGATGCTGGATTTGCATTTTCTGAAGCAGAAAATGGTAGCAAACTGTGGGTTTTCTCGCGCCCAGCGGTCTCCCATGGGTGTTGAAGAACAGACACGTACACGTGGTTTCCTCGGGATGGGAGCCTCGAACAAAGACGAAGCATCCCTTTTATTGTGTTATCAGAAGGCGGGTTTATAAGCACCTGGTGACCACCTTACACCAACCACATTTGTTATGACACAGCATATTAGCATATTACACGTGCTAACTTTGTTTTGCACACGCTACTATACAGCTGTTGCACACGGCACTAACAAACACCAAAACAACATTCCCTTGCACCGCACGGCACAAACTTGTTTACGCCAATCTATTTTCTCTTCTGACTTCCGCATACCTTGGCCTACTGCAGCTGGTGACTCAGCCTAACAGGCCAGATAACCCAATGACTCCAACATCTCCTACTTTTCTGTTTTATTTAAAAAATAAGGAGGTTGCGCTTTATAGGAAGTCATCCTCAGTGTCGCTTGGCAAAGTGAAGGCCGGTTTGGTTAGCAAGGGTAACTGAACTGCAGTGATAGGTGTAGTTACTAAATTGACCTGTTGGTGGGTGACAGTTCCTGAGGGAAAATTTTTAAACATCATAAACAAAGAAGGCAAACATTGAATACAACAACATATCAAAACTAAAATAACTACAATAATTATAATACCAGAAACCAATGATCGCAGCCAGGTTCCGTCAGGTAGCCAAGACCATAGGGCATCCCAAATGTTTATTGCGCCAGATCCGTCAGATTGTAATGGATCATGACGAACCATGTCTTCCATATGCTCAATGGTACCTGTGATATTGGCTTTGTAATCAGAGATATAAACACAACAATGAGAATGGATTAAGGCACATACTCCTCCTTTCGAGGCAAGGATAATGTCTAAAGCGTAACGGTTTTGCAGAACAATCTCTCGTATTTCTGCCACTTCTTTGTTTAACAATTTGGTAGTCTGAATGGTAGCGTTGAACATGTGCATAGTCCAGTTATTTAATGCATAGATGTCTCTGTAATTCATGGCTACCCCCATAGATGGAAATATAGATCGTGCAACTTGTGTTCCTGTACTGCCAGGTCCTCCCAGGCCATTTTCTAGATCTCTTCGATTGCGCAAACGGCCTGAAGGTGGCTGATCTGAAACAAAAACTGAGGGAGCAAGAAAGCCCAATGTACAACGGCCGGACCACCGTGGAGGTATACGTTGATATGCCCGCCGGCCACAAAGCATCCATACATTACTTAATATATTTGTAGTTGTGTTGGAGCTTTGCACAGTTTGGCGAGCCATGGCTCTTACAATACTGCAAAGGAAGAGTGTGGACATCGTGTCTGTGTTGCCGGGGTGACATCCTGTTGATAGCGAGCATCCAGTTATTTGATAGGTACACATATAATCAGAAAAGTCATCGAGGGGTTCAAAAAGAGGAGTTTTCTTAAAGGGATGTGGTCTAGTCATGTTGTTTGAAAGTTGAAATGTGATGTTACAATATGGGTATCTGCCTACTAAAACAGAGTTTTTAGCAGTGTTCTTATATTCCCAACAAAACGCTGCTTTTTCCTGGATTCTGCTTCCTATTGTATATACCGTATAATTCACCATAGCATTGGAAAGAGTTCCTCTAGACCAGGGAAATTGTTTCCAACCAGTTGTATTAAAAGGCACCGCATGCATAAAAAGTCCCCCCTCCTCCAGGGTTGGAATATGCATGCACATCCAACACTCAGTCTTGTTCAAAAGGCGAGAAATATTCTGCACATCTTTCATAAAAGAGTTGTGGGCCCAGGGTCCATGGTCATCTGATGTCTGGTTAGGATGGTGGAGATTGAACCAAATAAGGGCGAACACAGCGAGCTGGAGTCCAAATGATTTTGCCATGATCATCTACTGCAGCGTAGCCTCTCCCCCAGGTGATAAGCTCTGCAGGACCTTTCCACGTGGGGTCTGGAAGCTGTCGATAGTAGACTGGAGGTCTTGAAGTAGGGGGAGGGACTGTTGAAAAATGACGAGAGGCAGCTGTTGATGGTGGATCGCCCGTCAGATTTAAAAAGTTCAGTGTATAAAGGCACAAGTTAAGAATGTTTTGCACTGCTGGGAGGCCAGGGGCGATTTTCCCCTTTTCATTTAAATATCGATTGAGAGCTGTTTTTAATGTTTGATTTGCTCGCTCAACCAAGGCTTGACCTTGGCTATTATATGGAATGCCAAATTTATGAACAATGGACCATTTTGTACAGAACTCTGCAAAAGCAGAGCTAATATAAGCAGGTCCGTTGTCTGATTTAAGTTCTTTGGGGCGTCCTAACAGTGCAAATGACCGAATACAGTGATTGATAACATGTTTAGTGGTCTCACCCCTCTGGGGGGAAGCCATAATAAAGCCAGAATATGTATCAATAGAAACATGAAGATGTTTCTAAGGGGCAAAGGGAGGATATTGAGTAATATCCATTTGCCAAATTTGACAGCTCTCCAAGCCACGAGGATTTACTCCAAGTGGTATTGAGTGTGCTTGCTTGCTACAGGTTGGACATTGCTGAATGATGGCAGTAGCTTCAGCAGCTGAAAGATTAAATTGTTTGATTAATGCTTTCTTATTCTGATGGAAATAGGAGTGACTTTCCCAAGGGGTTAAAAAAGTGAGTGGCATATTAAGAGGTGTTTGTGAGGCGGCAGCATCGGCAACATCATTGCCTTCTTGGAGTGGACCTGGAAAAGGCTGATGGCTACGAATATGAGCAACAAAAAATGGATGTTTCCGATCATTTATGAGATGTTGCAAGTCCAAAAATAATGTTAACAGATCCATTGAGACATTTGGTGCTAAATAAGAATCAAAAATGGTTTTGACAATTTGGGTAACATATAAACTGTCCAGGATCAAATTAAAGGGTTGATCTTTAAAATGAAAAAATGCCATTGTGGCTGCCACTAACTCAGAGCGCTGAGCTGACGTCTGTGGGGGGGTGATTTTTGTACACCACTTACCCTCCTCTTTCCAAGCACAGGCTCCATGAGTCTTGCTGCCGTCTGCAAACACCGTTATTGCTTCTTTTAAAGGGAAAGAAACATAAGGAGATTGCCATTTAAATGGGACTGTTTTTAATAAAAAAATGCGAGGATCTGATGGTGGATGACAAGACACTTCTCCTGGCCAATCAGCAAGTGCTTGCTGCAAAGATTCATAATTGGCCAACAAACTTTCCCAAGCCGTTAGCGAACAAGGGATATATAAAAAGACGGTTCAACACCCCCTAAAGCCTTTGCCCTAAAGCGAGATTTTGTTATAAGCTGAGCAAAGAGCGTATGTTTCTGTGAAATGGTGTTCTTTGGGGTGTGAGATAAGTGGATCCATTCTACAATCATTATTTTTTTATTAGACACGATCTGAGCCAAAGCTGCTGTAGGAAGGTCAACGGTGTTAAAAATTAGC